CTGCTTGATAGGGTTTGACAGTCAAAATGCACCAGTCTCCTTTTCACAGGGGCATCGTCCTGTTCCGTCCCCAACACCTTGCAAACAAGTTTGAGGACAGTTCTGTGCGATATACAGAAGAAAAGATCACAACTGGCAAGATCAAGAAGTTTCTCCAAGAGAACATGTGAGCATAGTAGTTTCTCTCCTATCGCAAGTAACGGTTGTCTGAATGGGATTCACATACTAAAAAATGGAAGTTTCTGTGTTTCAGCTTTGGTTTATGCCCACACATGACTGAAGACAACAAAGAATTGATCCAAGGGAAAGATCTTTTAGTGGCTTATTATGATATAGATTATGAAAAGAATCCCAAAGGCTCTAATTATTGGCGCAACAGGTGAGTTTCCATTTCTTTGTCAAGGATTCTGTGGTAGATGAACTGTTTTTGTTACAAATGAAATCTGATATTGGAGAAAACAGTAAACAAAATGAAAGCCGTATCTGCACCAGTTATGTTTCCACTGCAGCCAATTTGCCAAAGCCACTGAAAAAATCTTGTTAAAACATAGGTCTTCCCAAATTAAACTTGTGGGGAATGAGGTAAAGAAGCAGTAATAGACTGGGGGGGGGGAGGAGGAGGAGACCGGATGCAGAATGGCTAAAGAAGAGCTGGGCAGTTACCATTGAAGACCTACTGCCTGTCAGCAACTGGTCCCAGGCAGGATGATGAATAGGTGAACATTCCTCCTCAGTTGGCAATATAAAGTTGGTTTCTGAGCCCAGGAGTGACTAAGATGGCTCACAAGCAATGCCAGCAGCAACAGCTGAAGTATGTGCTTTGATAGACTTGTCCTCGTTGTGTCAGAAGTTGTTGTTGCTTCAGGAACTACTTCCCTTAGAAAATAACTCTGTAGTAGAGACTCTCTAGTAGAGGTTGTTTCCTTGAAACAACTTTCATTTTATATTTTCTTGGCAGTATTGCATTTTAACAATCTTAGCTGGAAAACAGATGTTCTAATTTTGTTTTCCATTTTGGTGAATCCATTAGGCATCCAGCAGATATGACCTGGTATTGTAGAATTCATTCCTCAGTTAACAAAACATTCACACATCGGCAGGTGTGGAGTTGAAACTGCACTGGGTTCACTTGTGGAGTTGGTTGTATTTTTTTGCACCCATAGCTTGGGGCGGCCATCTGATTTCCTTGAGCTGTCAGTAACAAAAGAGTTGCCTTGTTTCTGCAGAGTGATGAAGGTCGCTCGGAGTTTCCTGGATGCTGGGCACAAGCTTAATTTTGCTGTTGCCAGTCGAAAGACTTTTGGCCATGAACTCACGGAGTTTGGGCTGGATGGTTCTACCAATGATATCCCTCTTGTTGCTATCAGAACGGTCAAAGGAGAGAAATTCGCCATGCAAGAGGAATTTTCGTAAGTTCACATTTCTGTCCCTTTGTTGGGAATAAACAGCTTCTACTTGGAAGCTCCCCTTTTGAAACAGAAATAGTTCCTGCAGGGCAAAGTTTCCATTGAATTGTTCTGGGAAGAGCTTTGAAGGAGGAGAGGCCTGTGTTGTTCCCTTAGTGGCTCTTGATGGTAGTACAAATGGGTCTGCGCTGGCTGAAGCAATTCTTACTCCATTTTCAGCCGTGATGGTACAGCCTTGGAGAGATTCCTTCAGGATTATTTTGATGGAAAGCTGAAAAGATACCTGAAATCAGAGCCCATCCCAGACAACAATGATGGTCCGGTGAAGGTGAGAGCGGGGCTAGAGTCTTCCATTAACCCCATGGTAACTGGGGAAGAGATTTTACATGGATGGAGTTGTAAATTACGTTTCTGAAATAATAGGAGAAGCAGAGCCTTTTCTGTAGTGTCTTGATTCCCTTAGGAAAAAAGTGCACCATAACAAAACAAAAGAAATCAAAATTTTGCTCATCAGTGCTTAATTAGCACTGTAATGGCTCTCCTTTGGTTCCAAATGCTAAGCGGCTGTAAGAAAACAAATAGAAGTGTTAGGGAAATGTGAAATTTTACAGTACTTACATGCTAGCACAAACAGCTGTCTGAAACTGGGCAAGTTCACCTTGATAAAAACAAACAGGTGACTTGAGCTGGTAATGTTATTACTCCGTGGTGCAAATATGAGCTTGGACAATACTTTCTGCATTGCAGGGAGAGACAGGTATGCTTGCATCTGGAGAAAGCAGCTGTTCTGCTTTTACCCATGACATATTGGGGCTCTTTCAATATGATTCTGGCATGTTTATTTAAACCTTCTTGTTTCTCTCTAGGTAGTTGTGGCTGAAAATTTTGATGAAATCGTAAACGCGGAGAGTAAGGATGTGCTTATAGAATTCTACGCCCCGTGGTGTGGCCACTGCAAGAATCTTGAACCCAAATACAAGGAACTGGGGGAGAAGGTAGGAGGGAAGGAAGCAAAGGTTGCATCAACTTGAAGGTCTCTTGGGAGAAGTTACTTTATTTATCTGTGAAGAAGTAACTGCTGGGAGTTCCTTTCCAGGTACAGCAGTCCCAAAAATGGGAAATATTGGTGGCCTGTTTGATTTTGACTTCACATAATTCTGATCTCGGTCACCATTTTCTCAATGGGCTGAGAGTTTTGTCCTCCCTAATTACTGGCTTGTTACCTTTTTTCAGCTTAACAAAGACCCCCACATTGTTATAGCTAAGATGGATGCCACAGCCAATGATGTGCCTTCACCGTATGAAGTCAAAGGGTAAGGAAGCCCCAGGAATGGCTGTTTGCTTTTCCCGGTGAGCTACATCTGCTATTAGCAGAAGAGCTTTCTTAGAAATGCCTTTTGACCTGTTTGCCAATTGTGCAGAATAGGTTGGTTGAGGATTGAGGACCGGTTAAATTTATGTTTGCTGTTGCTACGAAAAAAGATTGAATATGTCTAACTGGATCTTTCTTTGTGCTGCAGCTTTCCCACAATTTACTTTTCTCCTGCCGGCAGCAAGCAGAGTCCAAAGAAATACGAGGTGAGCAGATCTTTTGCTGGCTTCTTTCTACTAGAAGGGCTTTTTAGGTAAAGAGATGGGATAACAGTTACAGCAGCAGAAATAACACCAGTTTGCTCTGGTTGGAGGGGAAACCACCCTGAGATACCAGAGCAATAGGCTAGATTAGAATCTTTTAAAAGCACTCCAGAAAAAGTTGATGGCAACTCCGCCTTGGCACCGAGGAGGGAAGAGGAGTGTGACTGAGACGATGTGGAGTTGAGCTGCACTGGGCTTCCTAGACAGAGGGTAAAAGTTGGGGGCTGTTGTGAATTGTGGGTGGTACACACAGTGGGCAGGGGGTGGCCTGCATCTCACTAGTGTCTCTCCCTCTTGGCCTCACTACTTCTCTCCTTGCCAGGGGGGGCGTGAGGTGAGCGACTTTGTCAGCTATCTGAAGAGGGAGGCCACATATCCGCCAATTCTACAAGAAGACGAAAAGCCTAAGAAGAAGAAGAAGGCGCCGAAAGAGGATCTGTGAGAGCCTTGGCTGCCGCCTTGTTCAGAGGAGAGCCCGGCGGCTGCTCTGGGAAGGAGGCCAGGGCTCCATGGTGCAGCTTCGTAGCTGGAAAGCAAAACCCTTCAGGCAGAGGAGAGCCGGTGGTTGCTGTCCTACTTCTTTACCTGCCCCTTGTCTCTTAGCTGCATTTGCCATGGATGCCCTGGACTGGAGAGGGGGGGGTGTTTTCTATTTTTTTTTGTACATCTGGAGGAATGAATGAATAAATAAATGAACCTTTGCCCCCCACCCCTACTCCTAATTGCTGTGTGATGGGGGGACCGGGGAGCCTTGTGCTGGAGAGGCAGTGTTGCTGGCTTGATCTTTAAGAAGGGGCTACTGAGAGCAGCCTCCGTCGGAGCCTTTTTTGGAAATAAACAGTCCTGGGCTGAGTGAGCTACGCCAGAGTGGCAGCAGTGGTTGCTTCTGCTTCCTCTTTTTGCTGAGGAACGGGCAGGTAGTCTGTAACTACTGCATGAAGTCAAAACAATGGATACCGTTGTGTGGAGTTCTGTCTGGAAAACTTGAATCTTTCCCAAAGAAAGCAAAAGCACCGCACTATTTTGCTCATTAGTGGCAGGGAAAGGAAAAGAAGAAAACCGAACAAGCTCAGAGGGCACCAAAGACCAAAGACATTTCAATCCTGAGCTGCAAATAGTCTCCTCCATTGGTAGCTTAGCCACTGTTCATTAGCCCCAGCTCCCTCCTGGATAGTTAAGTCAGTCAAGAAGGTGGTTTGTAGTTGGGTTGATGCTGCGATGATGGACTCTTGAGGGGTCGTCTACCAACTTGTTTCCAACCATTCCTTGTTAGAGAAGGTTGTTGAAAAGGGGCCGCTTAGGTGCCTCCCGAGGGACGCCCCAGCCTGACTCCCTTTCGCCTCCCCCGGGTGTTCAACACCTCTGCGATGACGTCACCTGCTGCTTTGAGGGTCTTCCCAAATGGCCGAGCTTTCAAATGGGGCTTCCAGGCTCTGTCGGGGCGCTTCGGGGTCCGGACGACCGAGAAGCTTCTTCAGCACCGAGGGCTCCGCTCGGCCGGGATGGGCGGCAGGTTGCAGCCGCAGCCAGAAAGGCCTTGGCGCAGCTTCGTCCTCCGACCTCCGCCTCAACCGCGGAGGGGCTTCTCCCACCGGCTCCTTCCAGCCCCCCCCCCCAACACAGGCCGGGAAGGCGCGGCCAGGCCCAAGCCCTCCTGGGTCCCTCCGAAGCTCGCTGACTTTCCCGGCCGCTTCTTCGGGCGCCCCTTCCCGCCTAGCTGCTCCTCCGGACCCCCGCCTCGCCCCTTCCCCACGGGCCCCCCTGCCCCGCGGACGGACCTCCGCCTCTCCCGCCGCGCGCCCTCAGCAGCGAAGCCGGGGTCCTCCCAACCCCCTCACCCCGCGCCAGCCGGAAGCGGCGGCTGCCTCCGCCGGAAGCACGTCCCGCCTTCCCTTCCCGGGTTCTGCGGTTGGCCCGTGCGCGCCGCGCCGGAAGTGCGTCATTGCGTGAGCGGCGAGGCGATGGCGGCCGAGGGGGATGTGGAGCTGGAGCTGGAGGCCGAGCCCAACGGCTCCGCGGTCGGCGGGGATGGCGCCGGCGGCCGCCCGGCCGAAAAACCGCGGAAGCACGACAGCGGCGCGGCTGACCTGGAGCGCGTGACCGACTACGCGGAGGAGAAGGAGATCCAGAGCTCCAACCTGGAGACGGTGCGGGGCTGCCTCCCCTTCCCGGTCCCCCTTCGCTCCTTGGGCGGGCGGGCGGGCGGAGGCACTCCGGAAGGGGGGAAGGAGGAAGAGGAGGAAAGGGTCCCGGCCCCGTCGGGCTTCCCCGCGGCCTTCGAGGGCGGGCAGAGTCGGAGAGGGAAGCGCCCCGCCTGCCCGGCCATTGCTGCCTGCCGTCGCCCTTGTGACCCATTCTGCTCTCTTTGACAACTCTTCGCACTGGTTGTCCTTTCTTCCTCCTTCTGGAAGATTAGCTCCCCCCCAAATTATTTTCAAGTTCTGTCCGTATACCCACAGCAATGTAAATGAGGTTAATTCGTACTTCTTGACACACACCCACGCATTCAAATTTATTTATTTAATTTCTATAGTGCCCAACTCTGGGTGGCTCACAATTCTAAAATTTTAAAACAATTTAAAAAACAATAAAATAAACATATTAACAAAATAAATAAACACAAATATCCATGCCCTGTGTCTTTTTCTTTCATACATCTTTGTGATGTTCTCTTAAATTTATCATTATTTAAAAACGTATTATTTTAGACAAACCTAAGTAATTTTTTCTAAATATGTAAATTACAAGTCACAATATGCCATGGTTAGTGTTTTAGCCAGCTTAAATCTTTAGAACATATATTTTAGACTTATAAAATGTTAGTATTATGCTGTTGCTCCAGAAACTTTTTTCTGGTTAGGGATTTTACTACCTTCATAAATCTGACCTTTCTAATTTATCTGAGAAATCAGATTTTCTGGGGTCTCTCCTGTAAAGCTTTGCCTAGGGATTGTACCTTTTACCCAAGAATCCTAGAAAATAAAATTACTTTATTCCCTAACTCAGGTTTATTGGAACTCCTGCTATGCATGGATATTTCCACACTACCCTTCTGCAGTTTCAAGTGGTTCCACAATGAAGAACTATGAAAAGAAAGTTCAAAGCAGTTTTAAAACTTTTTGATGACTTTAAAGTTTCTACAATGCCTGCTGCATAATCTGTTTTTATATATATGCAAACTTTTAAGGTTTCTAAGCTTTCCTTTTGCTTTGATTTTCCTAGGCCATGTCAGTGATAGGGGACCGAAGGTCTAGAGAGCAGAAAGCAAAGCAGGAACGGTGAGTGCTTAATAGTTCCAAACTCCTGATCCCAAAGAGCAGCCTGGGGCTTATAGGTAAAAAAGTACAGAATTCAACTGATTTTCCTCTGTGGAAATTATGGCTGTGAGTTTAGGAGTGGTAGTGGACACATGATCAAAACAGAATGGAATATTATTTCCCAGGCAAGGGCAAAATGTACCATTCTACATCAATCTACCTGTCTTGGCAATAGTTGGAATATTCAGGAAGGTTGACATGCCCTGAAGTTCTTTGGGATGGGATATTTTCTATATCCTTTCTCTATTAAACTATAACACAATTTCCCTTTTAGAAAAGTTTGCTTGTTTAAAATTCATTTGAAATGAACTTGGCATTAAATACTGATCTGCTCTTGTACTTTGAGCTTACTTGCCATAGCCGAAATAAATTAAATCTGTTTTGATGTCTGATACCAGCTTACTGGTTTTTGCTATCAAGACCAATCCTGGCCTTTTTAGGGTTCTGTTGTATAGGCAGTATTATTTCTGTTACGTTCCATCTGGCATACGTGTACGGGAAAGAGGGGACAGAAGGACTGTACTATTGTCTGGATGAATATAATCCCGAAACATTTCTCCTTGTTGCAGAGAAAAAGAGCTGGCAAAAGTCACCATCAAGAAAGAGGATCTGGAATTGATTGTAAGTCTAGCATAGAGCTAAGAAGTTGGCTTGACTTTAACAGAGAGGTATTTGACAAATCAGAAAGGTCTTGCCTGGATACCTGCAACTTGTACTGGCTAAAAATTACCCTTTTCTTTTTAGATGAATGAGATGGAGATCTCTAGGGCGGCAGCAGAACGCAGCTTACGGGAACACATGGGCAATGTGGTGGATGCACTAATCACTCTTACCAATTGAGAACTCTGTGCTGGATGTGCTTCTGTGGAGAAAGTGAAAAATATGCCTCTGGAGGGCCTTTTTTATGCAGATTATGCACTGTATGACACATTTTGAAGTTATTAAATAAAGTTGTGATTTTCCAGCTTACTGTGTCTATATTGATCCAGATCAATCAGTTATCTTCCCCCAATTAACTGAAAAGTATTAATGCTTTTAAATGGACCCTTCCTTCAGAATTTTACTGAAGTCCACATTTTCTACATATGAAATTTTTAGTTAAAGAAATGCATTAAAGAAAATCAGAAAAAGGCTATCAGGTAAAGAGGAACATCTGGAGATAGGAAAAATAAACTTTATTCCCAACTTCGATTATCATTACCTGCACCCTTTCTAGTGGTGATTTACAGAATTCAGTGGGGCCAAAGCACCTTGAAGAGATCATGAGCTGTTCCGGCTCCCAAACTGCAGCTATAAAATCAACCCTGGTACTGTGAGATCAACAGATTGTAAAATAAAAATGGAACAATCCTATATTATCTGGAAAGTGAATTTTGTACAAATTACATTGTATTAGCTCTAATGCTATTTTACTTGCAAACAATCCTTTAATGCTGCCACTGTTCTATCAATAAGAGCACTGGCTTCACACAAGCACTAAAATGATGCATAATGTTAGTATGGTTTGTTTAGTAAACTATAGAAACAAATAATGGCTTAGCGTCTTTCATGAAAGCTGCTTTCCAGCCTTTTTCTATGGCACACCTATCTTTTAACAGCTATGCAGCAATGCAGATTTTTAGTTGAAAGTGTATGACAGAATCAGATCAGCAAACAACCAAGATCAGGGCACTTTTCTAAAATTCAGATGAATGGGTCATTTAATAGTTTGTTTCCCCCCCCACACACACACTATTTAAACAGTCTTCCTGTAAAGAGCAGTTGTCTTTATAGTCCGTCTAAATTAAATACAGGACTGCAAAAGATCTAAAGGAGAGTCTGTTAAGCTGAATCAGCACCAGCTTAGTTGATTCAGACCAATGAAAATATTTTGTGGTCCCAAGTTAAAAAGTAGTTGTACAAAAAGCCAGAGCTAAAAGAGGGATTCAGACGATACTTCCCACTCAAGTCACTTTCCGCTTCTTAGCAGAAGGCCTCTCAAAGACATCCCGCACGCCAGCTGCCTTCTGCTTGAAGAACTTTGTATTCTGGGCACTCTCCTGCCCCCAAGCAGAGTCGAAGGAAGTTGTGTCCTGGTCCACTAGGTGGGTATATTTAGTCCGTCCGGAACGTCCAAAGTTCTTCACCTAGATAGCAAAGAGAGAAGAAAGTGTAGGAAGGATTGAGTGAGGTCTCCGGAATTGCTCACCTGCCTCTAATCCATAACCGGGCTCCTCTCCCATTTACCTGCATGACTTTAGGTAAGATTGTCTTGTTGAAGTGATCCTCTAGAGTTGGTGCACTGAAGTCCCTCTTGTACACATCCTCGTCTTCATCCTAAAGAAGCAAGAGCACAGCTGAGCACAGGGAAGTCAGAATTGTTGGGGATAGAGAAAAAGGCCCTAACACTCCAGTTTGCAGGGGAGATAAAATTGATGAGGACAAAGCTGTTATAGAGGATAACAAAGGGCAGGTCTGGTTACTGGACAGATATTTGACCCTCCTTCAGTTTTGCGGCAAAATGCTTACCATGAAGAAAGCACCACGGTGATAATATTTCTGCAAGAACTTGTATTTGCCCTTCACGGCCTTGTTGGTGATGACCTTGCCGTTGGCTCGGAGCTCAGCCCGGCGTTCTTCCTCAGTCAAATTCCGTACCCGTTCAATCTCTGCTTTCTCCTTTTCTATCCTATATAGAATGAAAAGGGAGTATGCTTCAGCTCGATAAATGACTTTTAGCAACTTGCAGACCCCCCATAGCCACAGAAGGTTGCCAAGCGGCCGTGGGGCTTGTCCAGTATTACAACAGCCTAGCTTTGTGTTCCTGACAGCACAGGAAGGTTTTCTTGTGAAGATTTTTCTTTTAACACCTCTAGAGTCAGATCATATCATGATGGGATTTATAATACTCCCCTTGGTAGTTTCTGTAGATAGGGAGGGCTTTATTGTTCAGCATCCTTGACCATAACCAAGAGAGAACTTGTAGTCTAATAAGGTGAAAATTGGGGTGATATGATACTGCTGGAGAGAGGAATGGTCCAAATTAGCTTCTTGCTCTAGCTGGACAAAAGCTGAACAGAATTAGATGTGATAGTATGCAAAACTGCCCACAATGTGCACTCTCGTTCCTTAGAAGATCTGCATGAAGGAACACCAGAGACGAATGCCTAGATAGCTGAATTGGATACCCAATTATGAGGCCACTGCTGTATCACTGTAGAGGTTTTGTATGTAATTATGTGGATTGGGTGTATATGTGTTTATTTCTCTTCTGTCATATTTTCATCATATGCTAAATAAATAAATGTTAGGACACACACACAAAAATCTGCCCTCAAATATCTGAAGGATTATAATGTGGAGGGGTTGATATGCTCAGTATTACTGTTTTAGTAAAATAATAAAGAATTGGTTTAATTACAAGGAATTGGTTAAAAAAACCTCACACTGATCAAAATTGTTTGGCAACGGAACAAGCTACTTTGAGAGGTGCTAGAGCTGCTTACAAAGGCTGAATGGCCCTCCACCAGAAAGCTGTAGTTCTGGAATTCCGCACTGGGAAGGAAGGGGGTTGGATAAAAAAAAATCAGGCGCAGTAAATAACCTGGCGTCAACAATCATCCTCTTTCACTCCCTCTTGTGAGGATGGAAGGTTTTAACTGTTTACCCAACGAAGGCTCCATCTGATTATACTTACGCCTCACGTTCCTCACGATCTCGCTTGATTCGTTTCAATTCTCGCACTTTCCAAGATTCATACTCTTCCTCATCATTCTCATCGTCCGTATCCAAAGCTTCAAGGGCTGCCAAAGAACGCCTGTTCTCCTCCAATTCCTTCTTGGCTTCTTCTTCTACAATCTGCAGTAATTTAGGGGAGAGTAAACCTGCGGAAGGACCACATTCCTTGTGTCTCAACCACCTGCTCCTTCCTTTCCCAATACCTTCAGGGTGTACTTGCGCCTCTCTTCAGCCATACGTTTGGCCTCTTGCTCCAGCTCCTTCTGTTTCAGGGCCTCTGCTTCTCGCTCCTGGACTGTGATTCGGTCCTTTCTGCAACAGATATTTGTGCCAAATTGAACAATAACCAAATTAAATCTTTTCTAGAAGAAAATCTCATTAAAATTCACACCCATTGGTGCAAGAAAAACACCGTGGAAGCCACCAAAATGGAGCTGTAATTATATGCCACCAACATTTTAAAAGAAATGCTGTGGAATACCTCTCAGGCTCAAGAAATTAGTGCCCACTGCCACCTCCTCCCCCTTTTTTTTTAACTAATGGAACTTGCTTGCGAATGAAGACAGGTTTAAGACGTGGTTCAGTTTCATCTTCACTATCTGTATACTCCTCATATTCAGACTCAGTTTCAGACTCCTCCCCAGAACGGCCCTCATCTTCCAGTTCCATCACTTCCAACTCCTCATTCTTGCGTTCCTGAGCACGTTGTCGCATCATATTACGGCGACGTTCAATTTCCTGTTAAGAAGAGTTAAAGGGGAATGATTATCACATGTTCATGCACCCTACCCCATTCCAACCAGTCTGTCAGGTATCAATTTATGGCTAGGTTAAAATTCCTGCAGAAAGCAGAGTTTTCCCAAAGGACCTCCAAAATGTTGCTCAGAGATGCAGTCCAGCCCCAAACGCCACACCTGGCCCTTCCGTCTGCACATACCTCATCGTCTACTTCCTCCTCTTCCTCCTCACTGGTGTCCTCGCGCTCCACGTGCCAGGCTTCGCCCTCCACTTCAGAATCACTCTCCCCCACCACTTCTGGCTCCACAATCTTGCGGTGCCTCGCCAGCCTGGAAGACAGAGGCCGTTTTCCTCCCTCTGCCTCTGCTGGGACGCAAAGAAGCCTCCATCGAGGCTTGGCCCAGATCAAGGGTAGGCAACCCTGGCTCTTTTATGACTCGTGGACTTCAACTCCCAGAATTCCTGAGCCAGCCATGCCCTGGCCCAGGCAGCCTGGCTGCCACTCACCTCTCTTCCACGTCCTCGCTGACGCGGTTCTGCAGGCGGCGCAGCCGGGGGTCGCTGGCCAGGTCCTCCTCCTGCTCCTCGGGCTCCAGCTCCTGCTCCTTGGCCTTCTTGATGAACTGGAACTCCTCGTCTTCCTCATCGGAGGACTCCATGGGCGCATAGTCGGGGCGCTTCCCCGACACGTATCGCTTCACCTTCACCTTCTCCATGGAAATCTCCCCTGGAAGAGGCGGGCGGGGTTCAGGCCCTGCAGCTGAGCCCGGCGCCCCCTCTTCTTTCCCCTCCGCTCCTCCCCGCCGAGAAGCCCCCCTTCCGCCCCCTCCTCACCCTTCTCGTTGCGGACGGGCACGGCCCCCGCCGTGGACTGGATCGGGGGCTGCTTCATCATGGCGCTGCTGGAGCCCGACATGGTGACGGCTGGGGTCGGGGAGCCGCTGCAGGAAGGACGGCCGCTCGCCTCTCCGCCGCGCGTAAACACTGGACTGACGGACGATGCGCTTCCGCTTCCGGCTGCTCTGGCTCGCTTCCGCTTCCGGCGAGCCAGGTCCCGTGGAGGCGGAGCCTAGGCCAGGGATAGGCAACCTCGGCTCTTTTATGACTCGTGGACTTCAACTCCCAGAATTCCTGAGCCAGCCGTGCGGAGTTCCTAGGTCTCCTTTCTTGCTTCCTTATTGAATGTCTATTTTTCTGAAGAAGGGTCAAAAAATTTGCTCAGTGCGGACAGAATTCATTTGGATTACAATATTTTATTAATAGAGCAAAATTAAGATCCCTCCAGTCACATGATACACAATGCTATTCCAATCTTGTAAGGGGGCTGTGTGAACTGAAAGGAATGTTGAAAACAGTTAAATTATTCTATTTCTCCATTGAGTGATTCAAGATGTTTTTTTTTAAAGAACTTGAAAAGGCTCCTGTCTGTTGTTTGGCTGCCTGTGGTGCTGGGACTGAGGGAGGGAACTTTCTTGATCGTACAATTTTATGCAACACCATCGGCCAAATTTTCTGCAATTGGGTAGTCTGTGTATTCACCATGGACTTTACCTATTCTTGTGGCCCCGGAGAGAAATGGAAGAGCATTCACCAGAAATGGTGAAACAGCATGAGGCTTCTTTGAGCTTGACAGATCTCACTTTTACTTTATTTTGCCAATGTGGACAGATTAGCCTTCCCTGATATAGCCAGAATGTAAAAATATTCCACCCCACAATAAGAGAGGTTATGGCTCAGGATGTTGTGGGAACACAGCCATTATTTTAGTATGTCTGAAGCAAGCCATCACGAGAAGCCAGGCTGGGGGTCTTGGGCACAGATGCCAAACTCTGGCCTGCTGTAATACTAATCTGACCTGGTATTGGTGAGGGGAAGAGAATGACCACCAGCCTCCTGGCTTAGGGCAGAGATCAGTGTCTATCCTTTTAGCAACCAGCTTTGCTTTGTCAATGGGCATTTCCAGTGCAGGGAACAGATGACGGTGCTTAGCAGGCAAGAGACAGGCCACTTCCTGTGTGGTAGAGCTCATTTGGAGCAAGGTCTGGGACCCAGTGTGTTTAAAAACAATCTGTCTTTCCCGTGTGAATGTGTGTTTGTGGTATGAAGCCTCGCCTTCCAGGCGCTGTGATTTCCAATATCAAGTGACTCAGTTCTGCTTCTAGAAGGACAAGCCAAAGCATGGCTTTCTGCTGGGCTGGGGCTTTGTTTAGAGACCACCTGGTTGCTTGTGAACCATATCAAGAAGCTCACAGAGAAAGATTTTTTGGAGTTCCTTGTGTGGCGCCCGATTTCCAAACTCCAAATATGGTCCGGTTTATTTTGGAACAGCACTTTGTATGACAGAGGAATTCTGGTTTCCTAACATGAAGAAAGTTGAAGATTAGTTTGTTGTGTAAACCTAACCTTTGCTCGACTGGCTTCAAAGGAACTCTATTCCTGTTTTATTTGTACTCTTCTACAAAGGAAGAATTGCATTACTGGCAGAAAGGGTTGTTGTTGTTTTTAAAAAAAAGAATATGACTCTATCAAGAATAGAAATTGTTAATGATGGTCCCTGACCCTGGAAAGTATATGAATAAGCTTTCCATCAGGACCTCCTAGCTATTAGATAAAAATGTACAATTCTCTTTTCTAAGATTGTAGCCTGCTTTATACATAATGCTATTCCTGAATTTAGTTTTCTTCATTATGGTTTGTATATCGGAATCTAAATTACTCCTTGTATTTTTGTCAATCAGCCACATTCCTTATTTCTGGATGATGCTGGAATATTTTAAACATGGATTGTCTTTCTGCTTGAACCTGAAGCTATTTTAGTGTGCATGTATTTGTATGCTGCTTCAATCGCTGAATTAACCCTGCCCAGTTAAGATGTGGAGAATAAGAGCCACAGAAATGTGGCAGGTGCAGGGCCCTCAAATCTGCGTCTTGTTCGGATGCAAAGCAGAGGTGAAGGTCTGACCTGGAAATGCCAAAACACCCCACCTTCTCCCACAATGCCAGCAAAAGATCTGTTTAACTGCTGACACAGGGAAAAAAAAACCCAATCCAGCAAGTCACATAACTGATATGGAATTCCCCACAAGTAAAAAAATAATAATTGTAGTGTATGTGTTTCATGGGGGGGTGCTTCTTCGGCTTGATATTTGAGAGCTTATCAGGCGAATGGCTTCCTGCATTGGGGCTTTTTCGCTGTCACTAGTTGAACAGGTATTTTGATAGCACTGTGGGAGGAGGTGGGTGTTTTGGCATTTCCAGGTAAGCATTAAACAAATAAGTATATGGTATATACAAATGAACGATATGATAAACAATATGATAAAAGTATCACCCAATGATTACAGAACAAACCTTTAATATATCTGTCAGAGCGGCCAATCACTTTTTTTCGGCTAATGTTTTCCACTTCATTAAACAAAAGTAAATAATACTTAAAACGGAAAAAGATAATGGAAGGCTTGAAAATATGTGTCATGAATAAATCTGAAAACTTGACAAGGAGAGTGCAGAATCCACTCCCTTGTCCTTCTGTCCCAGAAATAACTGTGTGAAACAGGGATGTGTTACCATGAAGCATGTGGTTAACAAACACTGGCCAACTCCCATGAAGTTGTGCTGGGAAAAAGATGTCTGAGGGGAGACAGGAAAGCAATCTTCAAACCACTTCTCCAAAAGAGGTTACTGGTGTGTGTGTGTGTGTGTGTGTGTGTGTGTATGTTGAAGAATCTGGAGCAAGGGACAAATTAACAAGACCAATTCTAGTTGAAAGTGAGAAAAATCTTCCTAACAGAACAATCTAACCTGGAACCACTTCCCCAAAGGTGCTCTTCAATCAGACCCTCAATGTCAAACGTTGGGGAAGCTTTAACTTCCATGCCTGCAGGGGGGTGGGCTTAATGACCTCGAGGGCCCCTGGCAGAGCTGTCTCAATTCATTTCCGAAATAGGATTGCCTACTTCAGAGACCAGCGCTGCAACTTCAGAACAACCGATTATCGTTCAACTCCTATCAAAGCCACCAAATCCGCCAGCCCCATTTGGAAGCCTCCGGCGAGGGGAAGCCCCGGGCCCGCATTTCTCTCCCTTGCGGTCTTTTGCAGCCGAGGCCCCAGGTTCCCTCCGCCCGAAGCGGCCGTTTGGCTGCCGCAGGGCTTTGGTTTGCTCTCCTCCCCTTGGAGGCGACGCTTCCCCGGGACTTCTCCTCGCTCTTCAAGCCATTCGGCTGCCAGACCTTCCACAATTCCCGGCGCCCCGAGTCTCCTTCAGCCTTTGTCCCCTTCGAAGCGCGGGGCCCAGAAGCGGAGCGGAAGACGGGCCGCTGCTTCGGCACCTGCCCAGGCTCCGCTCCGCGGGGATCCTCGGAGCTTCCCCGCCCAGCGGCCAGCCGGGATTCCACGGGCTCTTCCCGGGCACCGACTCGCAAAAGCCCGGCAACTTCCGGACCTAGCTTGGCCGAGCCCAGAGCCGGGGAGCCGCGTCCGCCGCGGGGCGAGCAGCAGCCCGGGGTGCCTCGCCAGCCCGACCGTCCCTGCGCCGCCTTCCCCGGGCGAGAGCAGCGGGCTCCTGCGCCGAACTTCCGGCTGACGACGCGCCGGAGGAGCCGCGCAGGGGCGGCGGGCGAGGTGGCGAGGCCGGGGGAGAGAGCCTGCCTGCCCGTCTGCCTTCGCGGCTGATCCCGGGCGGCGCGCGAGGGGAGGTGCCGGGCCGGGCTGGGGCCGCCCCGCCGCCCGCGCGTCAACAAGCGTCAGGCCGCTGCCAGCTTGCCAGCCTGCGGGGCGGGGGCAGCTCGGCTGGGCTTCCCGGTCCGCCTCCCGCCCGCCGCGATGACGACGCCGCTCCCGCTCGCCCAGGGGCCGAGCGGGCAGCCGCGGTGAGCAGAGCGGCGCGAGCCCCGAGGGCTGGAAGGTAAGGCCGACGGCTGGGGACGGGGACGGGGGGGACCCGCCGCGCTCGCTCGCTCGCTCCAAGGGCGCGGGCTGCCTCGGGAGGGACGGGGAGGCTCGGCCGCCTTTCGGGCCCGGTTCTCGGCTTCGGCGGGGCCTCCGGGCGGCTGACGCCCGCCCGCCCGCCCTGCCCTCCGCCCCGGGTCCCGCATCCAGCCCGCGGCGGCGAGGAGGCACCGCTCCCGGGCCGGCCTGGCGGAGGGCGGGCGGACGACCCTCGGGGGAGAACGCCGCGCTGGGGCCGAGACCGGTGCTCCGCCGGCCCCGTTGGGATCCGGAGGAAAGGGCGCTCGGGCCAGCGGGGACACCCTGGAACCCCCCGAGGCCTCCGGGACAGATCCAAGGCTTTGCTCCGTCTCGGGGGGGACTCTCTGTCCCGACCCGGCGCTTTCTCTCGGGCCTCCCCCGTCGCAGCGGCCGCGGGAGGAGGAAGTGCGTGGCCCAGAACGCCGCCTGGAGCTCTCGCAGCCCAAGCCGGGATGTCGGGCGAACCCGCGCGTGAGTCAGAGGCCCCGCGGGGGCGGGGAGACTTTCCGGGGGTAACTCTGAATGGCCCGTCTCGCACCGTCTGGGTAGAAGTGCGAAAGCAGAACTTGTTTACCGAAATCTGAAACCGCGGAGGGACCCTGAAGGGGCGGTGGGCTAGTTAAGCCAGCTTCTTCTCAAAAAACTCTGGCCTGGACAGACAATGGTTTTGTTTTTTCCTGAGCTGGAGGCACACTTCATCTGTGCTGTCTCTAGCGAGCCAAGAACAAGAAGGTTCGGATCAGGGACTGGGTGTTTGGGCCCCAAGGAGCCATCCTGGCTTTGCTTGGTCAACCTCTCCCCAAACTAGCTGCCATTTCTGTCTGAAGCCCCCCCCCCCCAAAAAAAACAGCAGAGCTTAGAAGCAGCTCCCACTGCACCTGTGACCCTTCCCCGGGCATCGGGTGGTCTCAAGTGCTCAAGCTAAGCTGTGGCAGGGCTTGGCCAACAGAAGTTGGGCTAGAGTAGAAAGACGTTAATCATGCATTGGAATTCCCACCTCCCTTGAGTGCCCATCCCCTGCATTAGTGGGGTTCTTATTTTTGTTTTTTACTCTTCCCAGAATACTCTGGGTGAGGGGAGAGAGTCAGTGGGGAGCAAAATAGGAGAACAGAAGGAAATAAATGAGAAATTTGGCTTAGCTGCTGGTGTGAGAGTTGTCTCCTGAAATTACACCCTTTCCTCGTGTGCACCTTACAGTAGTCAAGTTCACTTGTAGCTCCGTATCCAGAAAGGGCTCATAGCAGCCCCCTTCATCTTCCTGGTCCATGGAAAGTTCCTCAAAGTGGGTTGTTGAGAAACCTGGTGGGTTAGAGGGCTGAGCATCTAACGTCAGGCTTTCACCTGGTTTCTTTGGGCCTGAGCAAGCAGGGCTTGGGGATGTGGGCCTCTGAGCTGAAATAGGTTACGTGGTTAGGAAGTGGTTGTCTGCTGAAGTTGCTCGAGGGCTGAGTGAATTTGTACTTTCTCACCTCTAGAAATTACAATGGTTGGAAACAAAATGCCTTGGCAAATCTGTGCTGAAACACGTCTGTGTGTCCCCATGTCCTTCATTTGCTCAGTCCTGCTAACAAAGCCAAGGTTAATCATTGAGAAAGTGGCGAGAAGGTATAAATTGGTGCTAAGAGCAGTCTTGATCCCACGTTGGGAATGCCCAACACGAGTACTTTGAAAACAAGTCTCACGCTCAGTACTCTTCAACCTCTTCATAAATGACCTAGACAAGGGCACAGAAAAGGAACTCATGAAATTTGCAAATTGACATCAAGCTGGGGTGGGGGGAATTGCTAACACTTTGGAAGATAGACTCAAGACTCAGAAAGATCTTGACAGGCTTGAAAACTGGGCCCTGTCCAACAAGAGGGAGTTCAGTGGTGGGAAAAGTCAGGTCCTGCACTTAGGCAGGAAAAAACAAATACGCAGGTGGGTGGCACCTGGCTCAACAGCAGTAACTATGAGAGGGATCTAGGAGTCCTAGTGGGTAATCATCTAAATATGAGCATCAGTGTGCTGCAGCTGCCAAAAAAGCCAATGCACTCCCAGGCTGCATCAACAGAGGGATAGTATCAAGATCATGTGAAGTGATAATACCTCTCTACACTGTACTAGTAAGACCACACTTGGAATGTTGCATCCAGTTTTGGTCACCATGATACCAAAAAGATGCTCAGGTGTTAGAAAGTCTGCAGAAAAGGGCAACAAAGATGAACATCAAACATAGAATAATAGGGTTGGAATAAACCTTGGGGGTCTTCTAGTCCAACACCCTACTCAAGCAGAGGACCCGCCTATACCATTTCAGAGAAATGGCTATCCAATCTCTTCTTCAAAACCTCCAGTGATGGAGCACCCACAAGCTGTTCCACTGGTTAATTGTTCTCACTGTCAAGACGTTTCTCCTTAGTTTTAGGTTGCTTCTCTGTTCAGTTTCCATCCATTGCTTCTTGTCTTGCCTTCTGGCGCTTTGGAAAATACATTGACACACACCCCCCTCCTTCTTTGTGGCAGCCCCTCCAAAGCCTGTTTTGTGACCTGCCTATCACACTCCTGGGCAAAGCATGTGAGCCCTTTCTCTTTCAGTGGTCCATGGAAGTACATCTCTAGTATGTCTGTGGTATGCCTCCTCCCCCCTCCCCTCCCCTCCTCTTGGATTCTTCGCCATGAGACAGGTGGCCGGAGCCTCTCCCCTCCTGAAGATGCACTCGCTGTATCGGTTACTCTGCCAAACTGGCTGGAGAATGGAGAGCTCCTGGTTGGCCTTTGCCACACATACCCGTCCATCGTCCAGGGCAGAACCTGTTCCTCCAATTGGAGTGGCATTTCCTTGAATTACAGAAATGGCTCCCATCTGTTGCTGAACCACCCCCTCCAAAGAAGGGCTTTTGCTTGCTCGGTCAGTTAATAAGCTTGTTCTGCTGGAAGGCTAACATTTGGAGGCTGGAGATCACTTTTGATCCAGACAGGAACAGCAAGTGTGGTGAAATAATGTGGCTGGGTAGAATTTCCCCTCTTCTCCGGCTCTCCTGACCTTCCTCTGGCTGGGATGACCTTCTGCTTGGTCATCTTTCTGCTGACTCTTCAGCCCTGGGAATGGAGGACCTGCATTCAGCCCCGACCAGGACCTTCTGTGCTGGAGTGCTTGGGCAGACATACGGAGCACACTCGCCAGGTTTTTGGATCAAGAGATGGAGAGGAGAGGTCAAGCACAAACAGTATCTGCCCACAGAACAAGGGGGATCGATACTGCCCCTTGCACCGCTGAGTCAACAAAGGAGGGTTGGGGTTAGGGTGCACAGTAGCTCCACTGGAGGGCTTCCAGGCCTCAGGCCTCTTGTTCTGCCAACATGCCGCCTGTGTGTGGTTGTCCCCTTTTTCCATGGTCACTCCAGCCAGCACTCTCCTCGGTGGAGAGATCAGAGCACAGCTGATGCTTGTCTGGTTTAGAGCACAAGAGAAGGGCTTTGGCTGCAGGGGAGTCATCCCCCCCCTTTTTGCAAATAAGTTGCCTTGGCAAACTTGTTCATTTGTGTATAGCATGTTTTCCGCTTTCATTTTTTTTCTGTAAGCTCCTTATGAGATTGTTTTGGTCGCAAGAAAAGCAACAGCATAGCACATACAATGCAAAGTGATTTGAGGGTTAGGATTTTACTAAATAGATAGTTGCATAACAGGATGCAGATTGGTTCCTCTACACAAATGCAGCTGTGTTGTGTGGCCAAGAATCCTTACCGTGAAGGAGGCTAATACCTGCCAGCCTTGACTCCTCACTTGGGTTGCTTCTGGCCACATCTTTGCAAGGGGGCCAGGAGGGCCTTCGGAGAGCATCCCCTGCCCCATGCAGGGAAGCAGGGGAGTGCAGCTCATCCTGGGCACCTGCCCCAATCTCCTCTCCTCTCCTTTCCTGAGTGTTGGGCTCCTCCTCACCATGCTCCAGCTGGGCCTCTAGGAGCATCTCCTTCCCTCTCCTTTGGGTCCTCCAGAAGGGGGACATAAGCCCCCAAATCTCCTCCCATCCCAAATGAGGGCAGCTGGCAGTCGGCCTTGCACAGGGGGCATTTGTGCCTCTTCCACACACGAGGAAATTTATCTGGGCTCAGGAACTTGGGAAATGATGCTTTATGGTGGCAACTTCCTGCCCCCCCCCACGACCACTTGGCTCCTATTGGCAGACATTGGGCACAGCCTCTTGCTACCTACGTCCTGCTCTTCTCGGCATCTTGGAGCAGGTGGGGAGGAGGTCCACTCTGAGCCCTGTGCTTCCCTTTGCTCTCCAGGTGCTGTGCAGTCGATGTGTGGTCCAGAACCGGCCCCCATGCCTCCTCAGGCCGATTGAGCCCTTGCCGGGCAGTGCGAGGGCCTCTCCTGGCTGCCCAGCTCTGCTTTCCCTCCTGGCTTTCATGGCTCGGAGGCTGCCCTTGCTGCTCTTCTGGTGGGCGATGACGGTGCCCCTGGCCCTTCTAGTCAGCGAGGGACTCAGCCAGCACATCTACACCAACACCTGGGCTGTCCTGGTACCCGCTGGCCTGCAGGAAGCCGAACGGATGGCCAGGAAGCATGGCTTCCTCAACCTGGGACCGGTGAGTTACTTCCTAACGGTATTTGCTCATATTTAAGCCAGTTCGCGAGCAGAGGCTTGCACATTGCGCTGCAGGAGGCTTGCGCTACTCCTGAGGGAGGGGCTACTCTTCCTGCTGCGGGGCCTCGTGCGGGTGAATTCCCTAGGATTTTTGGATACCAGCCAGGATACCGTTAGGTTGCACGAGATCCTGACACTTGGAAGAGCGGGAGAGTTTTCTCCTTGACACTCCTTGGTCCTGTTTTCCTTGGCGATCTTGGTGCTCTCTCAGCTTGGCTGTTTGCCTGTAGACATTTGGTTCCCTGACAACCCGCATCTTCAGTACTTCTGAACTGAGCGCACTGAAGTGAGCTGAGATGTGATCTAGCTGGGTAGCAAAACATCTGCGAGCAACAGCCGACCTGAGGGAGCACCAAGGACCCCCTTGAGCTACAGAGATTCCCTTCGATTTTAACTCTTCCCTTGGCCTGGCAGCGTTTGGAGCCCTTTGCTTTCATGGCTGAATTCATGGCTGCGCTGACCTCTCCCTTGGGAAGCAGCCCTCGGCTCATCTGGAATGGGCCTCCTGTCTGCCTTTGCCAGTCACAAGGGCCCCACTGGTGGGAAGCGGCAGCGCCGTTCTTTAGGCAGGACGTTTGATGTCAGCTTTGGGAAACCGCTGTTTTGATGACTAGTCAGCTGTCTCTGTTCCAGCAGGCTCTTATCTTTGCAGCAGTGATGTTGGCAGAGGGCCCAGCTGCCCAGGGTTGATGCGGGATCGTGGCTGGTGATGTCAGTTCCCACCCATTCTTCTGGTCTTCAGGCCAGCAATGGCTCAGATATCACTGTTCATGTGGCTCAGAGCTTACCAGGGCCTTTTACAAAGGCCGTTTCATGCAACCTCACCAGCCTCTTTAGAGCCAGACATTTGTTGTGACATGTTTTTGAGGGTCACCGTGCCCCTTATTTGAAGTGTGGAGTGTCTTGGGAAAGGTGTGTTATGTAAGGCATCAGGACTGTTCACCCACAGGGGGACTCTGCTGCTGTCGTTCTCAAACTCTGCATTACGAATGGTTTCATTGGGTTAAGTCACAAGGGTAGGCAACTGTGGCTCTTTTATGACTGGTGGACTTCAACTCCCAGAATTCCAGAGCCAGCCATGCTGAGGGGAAAGGGAGAGGTTTCCAAGCTGAGCCATGCCGGCTCAGGAATTCTGGAAGTTGAAGTCCACCAGTCATGAAGGGACCAAAGTTTCCCCATGCTGGCTCAGGAATTCTGGGAGTTGAAGTCCACGAGTCATAAAAGAGCCAAGGTTGCCTACCCTTGGGTTAAGATTAGGCAGGAATGAAATACTGTTCATGAAAGTTACGTTTTCTTCACAGTCTGAGTCTTAGGGCTACTTTAGTTTTTCCCTTGCAGCCCCCCTCTGCTGTGGGTGCTGGACCCCCTCTCTGGGGCCAGCGCTCGAATGAACCTGGTCTGCTTGGCTTCTCTTCTCAGATCATCGGGGACTATTACCACTTCTACCACCGGGCTGTGGCTAAGCGATCCCTCTCGCCACACTGGTCCTGGCACAGCTCCTTGTCCAGAGAGCCGCAGGTAGGAATTCCGGTCCTGCAGAGTTGGCCCCAGAGGGAGGAGGCCGCCCTGGAGGGCTGCGCCATGACTCTTGCCCTACCGAGCTCCAGGTCTCCTCCGGATCTCCCACAAGCCACTGGCCCCTTGTCTTGCATGCCTGCCTGCCTGTCAAGAGTTGCCCAGGAGGGGATGGAATGGCTGCTCGCCCCGTTTTTGATCTGCCGAGGGTTTGGGCTGAGGCCCATTGGGGAGAAGAAGGAGGCTGGCAGGAGGAGCTGGAGATGCTTAGAAGGGTGTGTAGCTCTGGCTTCTCTTCCAGCTCAACAGGGGAGGAAGTAGGTGAAGCTGAGAGACACGGAACCTGAGCGAGGCTGCTCTGTGACTGCCCGAGCCGGGCTTCCTTTGCCTGGGGAGGGAGGCCCAGGCAAGGCCCCCTCCCTGCTTAGCAGAGGCCATAGGGCCCGCGTGCTGAGCAGGGTGGTCTCGTTTCCTGAGTGGAGCAGGGCAGTGGGAGATGGTCACCCAGGCCTGGAACCCCATCAAAGGAAAACCGTTCATCGCACCACTACGCAAAGGCTTGGTCCGTGCAGCCTCCACTGGGTCTGCTTTGCCTTTTTAGAAAAGGGCCTCTGGCCATGAGCAGAGGGCCACCCCCCTGCAGTTTGGCCATGGCAGGGCTGGGCATGTGGTCCTTGTGGGACTAGATGGCAAGATTGCTCTGCTGGCAGAGCTCCAGAGTGGCATCTTTTGACATGAACGCTTGCCCAGCGGTTCTTCGTGGCCTCGCTGTTCTGGCACCTGTGGGAACCTGGCAGCATACCCACGGGCATCTCTCTGCAGGTGCTCTGGCTGGAGCAGCAGGTGGCCAAGCGCCGGACCAAGCGGGATGCCTTTCTAGAGCCGACAGATCCGAAGTTCCCCCAGCAGTGGTACCTGGTAGGTGAGGCGACTGTCTTGGGGAGATGGGACTTGTCTTCTCTGAAGCCCGGGGGGGCAGGCCGGGGGCAGAGGGGCACTGTTTAGCCACTCCAGCCAGCGGGACGGAGGCTCTAAAACGTTGCCCAATGGCTGTGTCCCTAGAGTGGCCCCCTCTGGTTCCCAGCAACCCCCTCTGGTTCCAAGGGGCAGTGCCAGGGGCCGTGGCAGAGCGTGCCCTGCAGGAGAGCAGCACAGAGAGGGCGGGGGGGGGGGAGAGGGGGAAAAGAGACCAAGAGAGCTAGCAGGGCATTCCCTATTTGGATGAATGTTTGAAAAGGGGGGGGCTGTGAGATTGAGCCTGAGTAGGGGGGGTTCTCTCCTCTTTGGCTTGAGATTCTCTTTTGAGGACAATTGGGGGAATTCCCCCTCAGGAAGGAAAAGATGGGCTCTCGAAGCCCCTGTACTCCCGCTCGAGCACCCCGGCTCTTTGGGGTGACGGTCTGCTGCTCCCCTTTTTTGCAGTCCAACGGCAACCAGAGAGACCTGAACGTGGAGGAGGCCTGGCAGCAGGGCTACACTGGCCGTGGGGTGGTGGTCTCCATCTTGGATGATGGCATTGAGAAGAACCACCCAGATCTGGAGGCCAATTATGTAAGTGGAGGAGGGGATGGGCACGCTGGCTCTCCTGGGAGGGGAGGGCAAAGGCCTCCTAGGGTCCTGGCTGTCTCTCGCTGGAGGGCCCACGCTTCCAAGTTTCCCCCAGCCCAGCCACGGCATCGGGGGACAGGCCTCCCAGTGGCCAGCAGGCCCGTCTCCAGGGTGGCCGATGTCTCCTGTGAAGGGGCAGAGCACTAAGGCCCCAGAGGCTTCTGTCTTTCCCAGGACCCGGCTGCCAGCTTTGACGTGAATGACCAGGATCCGGACCCTCAGCCTCGCTACACACAAACGAATGACAACAGGTGGGAGGGAGGAGAGTAACTGGGCACGTGGCCTGGGGTGGGGCACTGGGATGAGAGGCTTCCACGGAAGACCCCCCTGACCCTTGCGAGGGTCACATTTTGGGGTTTTGTCCCGGATCTGCACTCTTGCAGACTCAGGCCTCCAAGAAGAAGGGGTTTGTTTGTTTATTGCATGTCTGAACTGTCCACCCTCCTTATGCAGGCATAGCCTCAGCCTTTTCTGTCCGTTGCAGGCACGGGACTCGGTGCGCAGGCGAAGTGGCTGCTGTGGCCAACAACGGCATCTGTGGTGTGGGTGTGGCTTTCAACGCCAAAATCGGAGGTGAGGAGCACCCTTGGGCTCTGCCCGCTGTTGGGCTGGTCCGGCTGGTCAGAGGCAGTCAAAGCAGCGGCCATCTTTGTTCCAGGTGTCCGCATGCTGGATGGGGAGGTGACAGACGCTGTGGAAGCCCGCTCGCTGGGCCTGAACCCCGACCACATCCACATCTACAGTGCCAGCTGGGGCCCGGAGGACGACGGCAAAACCGTGGATGGCCCCGCCCACATGGCCGAAGAGGCCTTCCGCCGGGGCGTGAGTCAGGTGAGGGGGCGGGCCAGGCGGGCAGCTGGGGGCCAGTCAGGGTATACCTCGAGGCCCCCAGCTGCTTCACCCAACCCTTCTCTCAGGGCCGCAACGGACTGGGCTCCATCTTCGTCTGGGCCTCGGGGAATGGTGGCCGCGATCGTGACAGTTGCAACTGCGACGGCTACACCAATAGCATCTACACCCTCTCCATCAGCAGCACCACCCAGTATGGCAACGTGCCCTGGTACAGCGAGGCCTGCTCCTCCACCCTGGCCACCACCTACAGCAGCGGCAGCCAGAACGAGAAACAGATTGTGAGTCCCACCTGCTCCCAGGGTGCGTCCTCCCCCCAGGTCCCAGGACAGAAACGTGCTCCAAAGATGCCCGGGTGGTTTGGAACCCAAACCCAGGATTGCTGGCTACGGGTGCCACGATTGCTGGATTGCAATTGCTGGCCATGGTGCCAAGGTTGGGACAAGAGATCACAGATGATTAATGACATAAAGAGAGTGCAGAAAGAACCGGGAATCTGGTGGTGTAAATGGCTCGGAGGGACAGTGGGGGCAAGGAAGGAAGACAGGACAGAGGGAGACCCCTTGTTGGGGGCCTGCATTGGAGAGGAGAAACACTACAAAGGGGAAACCTGTGCAAGCCGCAGGGACAGTCTGAGGCTTCAAGTTTGCGCGTCGGGGGCAGAGCCAGAAGTTGTATCTGGCCACCTGCAGGCATCCATGGTGGAGGGGGGCCGACTGCATTTCCTTGTGCCTCAGTTTACATTGGGAGCAATTAAAACAAAAACACCCGGTTATTCTTTCAGTTGATACTGAAACATTTTGGGCCAAAGTTTGGGGGCTTAAGGCCCCTCCCTCCTTGTCTGTGGCTAGACAAAAATCCTCCATAAGGCATTTCCTGGGTTTTGGGAGAAGAGTTCTCTCTGCTGAAAAGAGAGCGCAAAGTAACGGAGCTCTCGGGCACTAGAGATTCCAGGGGGGGCTCAGCCGATGTCGCTGTGCGTGTTTGCATGCACGTCTCCTGGGAGGCCAACTCAAAGAGGAGCTGGGGGGCTGGGAGCGCCAGCCCTGCAGGTGGTCCCCACGGCCACTGAATGGGGTCCATTCCTTTTCAGAGGAAATAGAGGTGCCTGTGGGGGGGGGGGGGAGTTGCTGAGCTGGCAGGCGAACGGCAGCCGGATAAGCTGTGATTGTGCTGGCCTTCCTCTCTCCGTCCTCCAGGTGACGACGGACCTGTGGCAGAAATGCACTGAGTCGCACACTGGCACATCTGCCTCGGCACCCCTGGCCGCTGGCATCATTGCCCTTGCTCTGGAAGCCAAGTAAGGGGCAAGGGAGGGGGCGGTGCTGGTGCAAGCCGGGCCTGGTGGAGCCGCCATTGCCGACTCACCTGCCTCTTCTCTGCAGCAACAACCTGACCTGGCGGGACATGCAGCATCTGGTTGTGCGGACTTCCAAACCTGCCCACCTCAACACCAACGACTGGACCACCAACGGGGTGGGACGCAAAGGTAGCCCTGGGGATGGAGCAGACGGGCCACGGCAGATGCCGTCCTGCCCTGCCCAGCCCTGACTCGCCCCTCTTTCCGCAGTTAGCCATTCCTACGGCTACGGGTTGCTGGATGCAGGCGCCATGGTGGCCCTGGCCAAGAACTGGACCTCAGTGGGGCCTCAGCGGAAGTGCATCATTGACATCCTCCCCGAGCCAAAGTGGGTGTCTTCTCCCTCCTTGGGTGGGTGGGTGGGTGGGCTCAGCTTCTTGGGTACAGGGATTCCTCAACTTACAAACATACGTTGAGTGACTGACTGTCCTGGCAGGATTGTTGGATCGATTGATTTAGATTTTGGTGCGGCCAACTCCAGGGAGACTCTGGGTGGCTTACAATATAAAAGTCAGAATTCCAGTGCAATGAATAAGTAAAAACTACCTTAAGAGAAATAACCACAAGGCAGCCAGACAGCTAGTGCATGTATCCAGTGCCTCTAATGGGGGGCTCATCCACTCCACCCCATGGGGGAAGAGGCCCCATGGTCGCTGGCTGCCTTGCTGAGTATCCTTGTGTCCTGCAGGGACATTGGCAAGCGTCTGGAGGTGCGGCAGAAGGTGGAGGCCTGCTGGGGAAAGGCTGACTACGTGGCCGGACTGGAGCATGTCCAAGCCAGGCTGACCCTTTCTTACAACCGCCGCGGAGACCTGGCCATTCACCTGGTCAGCCCAATGGGCACCCGCTCCACCCTCCTGGCTGCCAGGTAAGCTGACCCCTGCCGCCTCCGGTCCCAAAAGACCACCGAGCCTCTGCCGAGCCCTCCCCATCACCTCTTTCTGCTTGACCAGGCCTCGGGACTATTCGGCCGATGGCTTTAACGACTGGGCCTTCATGACGACGCATTCGTGGGACGAAGACCCGGCTGGCGAATGGGTGCTGGAAATTGAGAACACGAGCGAAGCAAACAATTACGGTAGTGCGCGCTTTATTCCTCGGTGTTTCCTTTTGGTGTTGTCTGCCCGGATGCCAGGAAGACTCTCCGTAAACATGAATTATCAGACAAAATGCATTTTAAAAAATTTACAATATGATTCAGAAGCCTCAAAGAACACTCTCCCCTTGGATCTGGACTGGCAGGGAGGCTGCTCCAGGTGCTCACCCCTCTTTCCCTTCTGCTTTCCAGGCACCCTCACCAAGTTCGTCCTGGTTCTGTATGGGACGGGACCCGACCTGCCCGACCTCTCCAACCAGTTTGAGACCAGTGGCTGCAAAACCCTGGTCACCAACCAGGCCTGCGTGGGTAAGTCCTAAGGAAAAGCTGCCCACAGACTGCTTGGCACAGTGTTCCACTCTCGGGGGTGGCCCCTGCCCTGGGCCTGGGCTTGTGTTCACTGCCCGCTGGCAGAAGGGTGGCTCCGGGCCTGCCCTGTCCCTGGACAGGTTGGACTTGATGGGTGCCTCTTTTGCCCCCTCCCCAACTCCAAGGGAAGGGAGGGGGAGTCCTGCCTTGGTGGCAGGTTCCCTCGGTCTGCCCATTTGGGCCCACCACTCTCTGCTGCTCTCTCCACATCCTAGTTAGCTAAGAAGTGGTTTCAACCCCCCCTTCCTGTGGTCCCCAAGTGGCCCTCTGAGTGGAGGGGCTGGAGGCACTCCTGCCAGAGCAGTGGGTAACTCGGTCACCAGCCTTGGCACAGGAAGGACGCGGTTTCTGTGACTTGGCTCTGATGGGAGGGGAAAAGCACCAGAGGCCCAGGGAGCTGCCCCCTCCCACTGTCCTTGGACCACCATGTGGCACTCAGTCCAGCATCTGCTTCTAGGTTTCCAGTTGGCTCTTTCACTCCGTCCTCTTCTGGACACTTGTCACATTCTCCCTTTTACTTTATTCAGGTGGCTTCCATATCATCTTTCTGTTCAATTTATTTTGAGAGTAATCCCTCTGCTAATATTTTTTTCCATACAGGATTTTCACTTTCACTTCCCATAGTCATCCTATATTTATTGCCTCTTTCATTTCTTTTCTTCCGTGATTGTTTTGCTTTTGACACCACCAAATAACATCGCATCCCACATTTGAGATCTTCTTACCAGCCTTCCCACATTCCCTCTATACCTCAGCCTTTCAAAGCATCCTCTCTCCTCTGGCTTCTCTTGCAGTGTGTGAAGAAGGCTTCTACCTCCACCAGAAGACCTGTCTCAAGACTTGTCCACCTGGCTTTGCTCCGGCCCTGGGGCCGCCGCCTCTGGAGAACAGCCTGGACCCCCACCTGCTGCAGTCCCGGCTCTGTGTGCCCTGCCATCCATCCTGTGCCACCTGCCTGGGCTCCTCAGCCTCCCAGTGCTCGTCCTGCCCGGCTCATGCCCACTACAACAGTCAGGAGCACACCTGCTCCCATCAGACGCAGAGCAGCCGGGCCTCTCCTGCCGTGGGGGGGGAGGGCGCGGCTCCTGCCAGCCCCCCCTCCTACCTGCCGCTCCTGGTGGCGGGCCTGAGCTGTGCCTTCATCGTCCTGGTGTTCGTCACCGTCTTCCTGGTGCTGCAGCTGCGGTTGGGGCCGTGCCTGCGTGGCTACAAGATCTACTCGCTGGAGAGCGGAAACCTCATCGCCTACAAAGGGCTGCCCTCCATTCTCTGGCAGGAGGGGCTGGAGGAGGAGGTGGAGGAGGAGGAGGAGGAAGCCGAGGGCGAGAGGACTGCCTTCATCAGAGACCAAAGGCTTTGATGAGTCTGCAGCCCCCGGTGAAGCAGGCCAGACTCACCCCCCCACCCGGGGCTCCTGCTCTCTCCTGGGGCTGAGCCCCCTGTGTCTTACGGGCCTGATGCTGCTGCTGCTGCTGGAGTCCTTCTCTTCTGGTTTTAATTCACCAAAGTTTTTTTTTTTTTAAAAAAAACCCTAAACCAGTCTGTCCTGTTAGGGTGGAAAGGAAGTGGGGCCCAGGGGCCACATCTCCCTAGATGGGGGAGTGCCGAGGCGCCAGGAGGGCTCCCAGCTCCCTCCTGCCTTGGCCCCCAGGCATCGCCTCCCCTCCTCACTTCCCTCGTGGCCAGGAGGACCTGCCTGACCTGCTGCACCCCCTCCGCCCCTGACTGAGCAGGGCAGTCAGGAAAGGGGGCCACGAGGACAAGACACCGCCTTGCTCAGTGCAGATGGACTGCCCGGCCCCCTCCCCTCCCCCCCCCACTGCGAGCAGGTTCTCTGGACCTTGGAGGGGCGGCCAGCCGGCTGGCTTGCTCACCAGCGCCCCCTGGCGGCTGCTCCCTGGATCTGCTGAGCTTTGCTGGAGCTTCCACCTTTCCTACGTGCCTTGTTGCCCCCCCCTCGGATGACAATCTCTGGTCCCGGGCATCGGGCATCCGCCACTGGCCTCGGGAGCCGCCTGGTGGAGGTTGCTCAGTCGGGGCTGCCCAGGACACTTTTTTCTATAACTTTTTTGGTGCACAAATGATTTCTTGTAATTTGAAGAAGGAGCCGATTCCTGGGGCCAGTTTTTTTTTTTTAATTTAATGGATGTGGATATAACTCTAGAGAGATTAAAGTTTATTAAATGTTGGAACTATGCAAACCTGGTTTCTCTTGCTGTATTCTCTCACCGGAAGCCTCAGTCAAGCCCTAAAAGCCTTAATCAAGAGCCACGATACCCCCCCCCCCACCCCGCCGGTTACTTGAAACCCAGGAATATCTGACTGCCCCAGGCCTCTTCCGTCCGGGCCCTCTGCTTTTCTCTCCTGGCAAAACTGAGGAAGGCCCAAGGCCTCCTGGTGGATGGCAGACTTTCACTGGGTCTTCAAATTCCCAATAAAAGCAGATAAAATTCAAGGGCAGGAGCTAGTTGTGGAATGAAAATAATATAAATGTATATTAAGGACGTGGATCCAGCCGAACGCTGCAACTGGGAGGTGTTGAATAGGATGGTCCCATCCCAAGCACACCGCTCAGTTCCAGGCAGCCCTTGGAGAGAAGACTGAGAAGCGGAAGCTTCAGAGAAGTTACTAGGGATTTCCTGGGGACCTGCAAAGAGATTTGGGGGAATGGTTTAAACCCGAGAAGGGCTCCAAATCATAGAATCCTGTTACTGGATGTCCTCAAGCACAAGAAATAAATGGCACGGTAGAGGGTTGCCGCTTGTTTTCAGCCATCCGGAAGGCAAGATGAAAAGCAGATTTAAGTTATAGAGAGGAAGATGACATAAAGAGCAGTTTGAGAGGAGAAGTGTGTGTGTGGGGGAGGGTGGAAATGGCCACTTGGTGGAAGGCTGGGAGTCCCACCTGGAGCCAGCGGTGAAGGCAGGAGGCTAGAAACCGGGACACTCGGCCTTAGGCAGAGAAGCTGGCTGGGTGACCCTGGGCCAGTGCCCCCTTCTCAGCCCACCCAAGGCTGGTGGTTGGGAAAACAGGAGGAGGAAGTACTGGGTGTGTTAGCCGCCGCCTTGAGTTATTTATGAAAATAGAAAAGGCGAGATAAAAATAAATAAAAACTACCTTTTCTGGAGGCATCTGGATCTTGACAGCAGGCTCCTATCTCCTGTTTAAGGAGGCTACCTCGGGGCACCTCACCTGGCACCCAGCCTAATGGCAGCCTAGCGTGTGTGTGTGTGTGTGTGTGTGTGTGTGTGTGTGTGTGTGTCACACTGTACTGTCACTTGCCTTTCTGGTTAGATGAAATGGCAGGCTTGCTGGCTCTCCACCACCGGCCCTGCTCCCTCCAAGGTGCCCGTCCCGGCCTCCCCACCCTCCGTCCGCTCGCCAGCCCTTGGGGCACCTACGAGCCGGGGACCCAAAGCGGCCTCGCCAGCCAATCAAGACCGGGGCTCCTTAAAGGCCTCGAGTCGCCCGGCCGGCTCTTGTGCCCCTGGAGCCGGGCAGGAGAGGCGGCGCAGGAAGAGGCCTCTTGCAATGCCGGGCGGGCGCCGGGAGGCTTCCTGTTCCTCTTTTGCCCTCCGGACCGGCGAAGGGCGCCTTGGCGGCTTGTGGGGGCCGCGGGAGAGCGCGAGGTAGCCCGAGGAGGGGCGGGGGGTCTCCCGGCCGCCAGCCAGCCAGGCGCGGCTCGAGGGCTTCGAGGCGGGACGGGGCGGGAGAGGCGGCCGTCTGCCTGCCTGCCTGCCGGGCGGCGATGGGCTTCGGGCTGGCGCTCGGCTGCCCCGAGGGCCACAGCGCCCTGCTGCAGCTGCAGGAGGCGGAGGTGCGCCTGCTGGAGGGGCTGCGCAAGTGGATGGGGCAGCGGGCCAAGAGCGACCGGGAGTACGCGGCGCTCCTGCACCAGATGCACAGCCTGGCCGGCAAGCGGGAGGGCGGCCGGCAGCCCCGCCTCGGAGGCCAGATCGGCCAGGTAGGCAGCCCCGGGCGGGATCTCGGCCGGCGCCTCCCCGATCCGTCCGCTCCGGGCTCCTCGCGGGGAGAGCGGCCTCGGGCGCGTCCGAAATGCCCGCGGAAGGGCGCGGCTCTTGGGTGGCTCAAGAGGGCGGCAGACGAGTTACAAACCGCGGCCGAGGCTTTTGGCGCTTCTCCACCGGGGCTCTGACTCTTTGCGGGGCCGTTTCAGAGAGACCCGGCAAGGGCGCCCCTTCTGAAAGAGCCAGAGGCTCCAGCGTGGAGTCAGGTTGATTTGACGGTCAAAATGCATTTAAAAAAACCCATAGCTGGGACTGACCAAACTTAGGGTTGCCAGGTGTCCACTATTTGAGCGGACAGTCCACTTTTTTCACATTATGTTCACTATTTTTTTTCACAAAATAGTGGACATATTTTTTATTCAAAAGCTTTATGATGAAATGGTACGTAATCTAAAGCTGTACAGTCTACTTTTTTTACTACTTAACCCCCCCCCCCCCGCTTGTCCGCTATTTTTTGGAAGCAGACCTGGCAGCCCTAACCAAACTGCCGGAGAAGAGAGAGAGCCCGCTGGTTTTGGGGGTCTTTCCGATCATGGCATATTTCCCTCCGCCATGGGGGGGGGTCAGTTAAGGGGAGAGCCGGCAGGCCTTCCTTCAGCTGTCCTGCCTCCACTTGGTACAAACTGGTTGTAAAGCCCTTCTTCAGAAAGATCTTTCCGCAACCAGCTTAAACTGGCACTGCATCTAGAGAGTACCCCAAGTCCCCCCATGGAATTAGGCCAGATTTTGCCGGCTCCTGGTCACCCTCTCTTTTGCAGTGCTGGTGGTCCCTGGTGACCCAGACTGAGGCGCTGAGCCAAGCTCTCGAGCGCCACGCGGAAGCCCTGGTGGCTGGACCCCTGGACACGCTGGCCCTGCTCATCCAAGACAAGCATCAGCTGCACCGGTGCTACAGTGAACAGTGGCAACAAATGAACCAGGATTTCATCCGGGTACAGCAATTTGGCTGAGCCCTCCTGGCACCAACAGGATCCCGGGAGAAAGGGCCAGGAAGGGGGGGGGGGAACCCACTGGGGCTGACAGCCCTTCTGAGCTGCCTTCTTGGCTTTTCCAGACCACCCAGCAAGAGCCCGAGCGCCTGAGAGCCCAGTACCGCAGCCACATCCGAGAGTGTGCGCAGGCAAAGCGCAAATACCAGGAGGCCAGCAAAGGTGAGTCCTTCGCCAGGGGCAGGATGGGGGCAAAGCCTTTCTCATCCCACATCCTGCTCCCTGTCAACAGCCAAGCTGATGTCTCCAAAGAAATCCTAGCCGTGATGCCTCTTGGGACAGACAGAGACCATGCCAGATGGTGCTAGTGTTTGTCAGTGATTGGTTAGGCCAGGGGTAGGCAACCTTGGCTCTTTTATGACTCGTGGACTTCAACTCCCAGAATTCCTGAGCCAGCCACGCTGAGGGGAAAGGGAGAGGTTTCCAAGCGGAGCGTGGCTAGCTGAGGAATTGTGGGAGTTGAAGTCCACGAGTCATAAAAGAGCCTACCGCTGGACTCTAATCCTACCTTCCACTTCTGTGGCTCTGTCCTCAGACAAGGAACGTGAGAAGGCCAAGGACAGATACGTCCGCAGCCTCTGGAAGCTCTACTCCCTGCACAACCAGTACGTGCTGGCCCTGCGAGCTGCGGAAGTGCAGCACAGCCTTCACTACGAGCAGATCCTGCCCGGCCTTCTCCAGTCCCTGCACGGTCTTCTGCAGGAGATGACCCAGATCACGTAAGAGCAGCAGTTGACCCTGGATGGGCTTGTGCCGAGGGCGATTCAGGAGGGAAGATGAAACAAAACTAGGCAGCAGGGAGAGCGGGGAGAGTGGGCACTGTTGGGGTACAGTTAGCAAAGCCCTTTTTTCTTACCTCACGCCTTAATTTCTTTGGCTTAGTATTTCATTCTTGTTGTCTGCGCTCTGTACAATCCTGCTGACTTCAGAGAGGGAAGCGAATGTGCATGTGTGAACGCTGTTCTTTCTATTCATCCTCTTGAGTTTGTACCAACAGGAAGGCAACCTTGCAAGAATACGCCAGCATCACAAGCCTGGTACAGGAGGAGATGGTGGCTGTGCACCAGGCCATGGTCAGGGCCATCGACCGCATCCAGCCAGACATTGACTACGATGAGTTCCTCCCCCCTTGCAGGTACGGTCTGCTGAGGGTTTATCTCCTGGGTGGCGGGGAGAGCAAGGGGCCGGGGGCTTTTCGTTCTCAGGCTGGCTGGGGTCTCTCTCTCTCTCTCTCTCTCTCTCTCCAGGTGTGAGCAGGAGATGCCAGGCCTGGTGACCTTTGATAGGAGTTTGCTAGAGGAGGCTGAGACGGAGGTCCTGCAAGAGGGGCAGCTCCAGCTGAATGAACTCACCCTGGAAAGCCTGCAACACACGTGTGTAGGGGAAGGCGGGGCCCTCCGGGAAGAAGGCTGCCCCTGGGTGAGGTGGTGATCCAGCCCACCTGCATGGGCACTGCTGAGGCCGGGGGGGGGGGGAGAGGAGGAACGGAAGAAGAGAGACCAGCCTGCACCGACTGGCCACCCTGGAAGCTGAGCCTGGGCACACAAAACTCACTATGGGGCTGTCCTCTGTGTGTGAGACAGGAAACCCCCTTCTCTGCTTTGCAGGCTGATCTCCCTGGAGGAGGAGCTGATCGGCGCCACAGAGAGCGCTGACGGCCATCGCAAGCGTGTCCAGATGCTGGAAGCTGAAATCCAGAACGATGAGATGGCAGGGAGCCCAGGGAAACGGTGAGCCTGTGCCACTGAAGCAGGAACCTCCAGAGGTTGCCCAATTGCCACTCTGGCTCCTCCACTGTTACCCAAAGGGAAGGGTGCAGATCCTGAGGGGCCAGGCCAAGGAAGAGTAACAAGCTCACTTCTGCAACGCATGCTTGCCATTAGAATAGCCCTTCGTTTCTGTTTCTCCCTTTGCGAGGTTGTGTGAAACACACCTTGTGGCTCTCCGTCCCAGAGGCCAGAAGATGGGGCAACAGCACAACTCCCTGCCACTCATTCTACAGCTCCAAAGCCTTTCCCCACCCTCTCTTTTCTCTGTCTGATGCCCCACAACATTACACCCCTGCCCCTATGAAGTAGGAGGCGTGGGGGCGTGTTCAAGGTGGTCCTTGAAGGCTACTCACTCATTCCCACATTCTCTTCAAGCAGCGAGTAATCTAAGAGAAATGCTCCTCTTGCACAGAGGAGCTTTTATTTTTCTCTTCTTGGTGGCCCACCCAGAGGAAGCCACGTGCTGGATGCAAATATGTCTTGTGCCAGAGATCTCCTACCTCTTTGGAGGGCTGAGGGCTCCCTTGATCTTCTGCCACAGATGTGCTGCCCTTGGCAAAGCATCCTTTCCCGTGCATGCTGCCTTATCCTTGGGTGCTCCATCCAATGCACCTCTTTCTCTTCCGTAGCATCCTCCTCCTGGGAAGGCAGAAGTCCCTGCATGAAGCTTGCCACCTTTTCCATCTTGCTCTGGGCACTCAAGAAAAACTCAAGGCCCAAAGGGATTTGCTGCAACAGAAGCTGGATGAGTTGGGATCCCTGGACCCTCCACCTGTCCCTGATCTGCAGGGCGACAGGCAGTCACTCTCTTCCGGGGTGAGTATAAGCAGTGCCCTGCCAAGTCAGCAAGGCAAGGTGGTAGCAAAGCATGTCTGAATGGCCCCAGGCTGCCTCAGGGCAACTTGACCATTGTGCTGATCGGGGAGACAGGAGGGGCACAAGCAACGGGCTTGGTCCAGTCACTCCTTTTTCTCCGCCCTGCCACTTGGATGGGCTGAACTCCAAGCCTTGGCGGGCTGCTCTGCGGTGGTCTCTGACATAGTGCTGAGCTTGGCTCTCTGGGCTGTTTCCCCCCACTGCTCACACCAAGTTCACCCTCTGCCTTCTTTCTCTGGCAGGAGCAGGAGTCTGAGCGAGATTGGAGCCGGACGCCGCCAGCTTTGGAGGCCCTGAAGAATCACATCTCAGGCATTTTCCGTCCACGTATCTCTGTGAGTGGCCATCCTTGCTTGACGCTTCTCACTGCCTCCCTGCCCAGCTGGATTTCCTGACCAGTTAGGCAAAGCCCAAAAAGTCCCAAACATTTGCTCTTAAAATATGCTAGATGAGGAATGGGCAAAACTGGCATTTATTCAGAAGTAGCACATTTTTTTTCTAGCTTTGTTTTTGGGATAAAATAATTAAAAACGTCTTACTGCCACCATCCCAAAATTGGAGCTTAACATTCTTAAAATAATGTAACGTGTGAAAATGCTAAAAACGTGAAAGGAGGAGGAGGAGGAGGAGGAGGAGGAGGAAGAGGAGGAGGAGGAAGAAAGAAGGAACAAGAAGCAGGAGAATCCAGAGGCGAGATCAACAGGTCCGTAATTAAAAGGATTTCAGTCTGAGCAAAGTACGAAGGTAGCTAGGCTGATTCTGGATCTGTTGGCTTTTCATAACGAACGGAAAGTGGCGTAATTGCAGCAACGTCAGTTGGGCAGAGCTGAGGGACCTACAGGCATTTCTTACGGTCAGACAAAAAAGAGGAAACCAGAAGAAGAAATTCAGCAGAGAGGCAGTGAAGTTGAGCAATTTAAAGCCAAACCAGAGTCGGTTCCTCAATGGAGAGCAGCCATTTATCCATTAGAAAAGTGGGCCCTTTGCCAGTCACCAGTCACTGACAGAAACACCGCAAGGGAACATCTTCCTGTCTACAGTTTTGCACTTTGGGTTTTCTTCTGGCCTCCTGAAGGAAGAGTCGGGCCTTGAATGCCCTTTGTTGTCACAATCAGAGTGCACAATCTCTGCACACTTTTCCTCCGAAAGTCCCCAGGCTCTCACCCCTCCTTAAAGGGCCAGTCCCCACAATTCAGCTTTGGCCCCATCCCCGGCTCATAGAAATTGAGCAAATAAAATAAGGGTGGATGTTTTATTGTTTTTAAATGCTTTTATTGCTTTTGCAGATTGGAATTGTAAACTGCTCAGAGTCATTGAAATGGATTGTTATAGAAATTGAGTAAAAAAATATAGTAAAAATCTAAAATATAGCTGTGGCCCCAGGACCGGCCCTTTCCGCCCCTTCCCGACAGAAGCCTTGTCTGTGCAGCTTCCCAGCTGGATCTTCGGGAGTGTCAAACTGTCACTTCCCAGGAGTCCCCAAAAAAGCCAAGTTAACTTATTTCAACATGGGGTGTGTGTGTCAGTGGTGGTGGGGTGGCTTGGTCTACCTGCTATTGTTCAAGGACAGGTAGAGCCTGTCTCTCCAAAGCGAAGGGCCTCCTGCACCCCAACCATGCCCAGCCCAGCTTGGCCTTCCACTTGTCCTCTCTGCCAGCCGTGTGGAAGCGGATTTTGCCAGCCAGCCTGGAACAAACAGGCTAAAGCTGCTGCCTGAATGCAGCCTTGGGGTTCTTCTTCCCTCTTCTCAGTTCTGATCCTAAGGATGAACTTCCTGCCTCCCACATGTGTGGGGTGCCCTTGTGTTGTCTCTCACACTTACTTAGGAGTGATGTTGATTGTGAGCAGTTACCTCATTAGTTAGCAATGATCTTTATGAATAGTGAGTGTATAACAGGAGTTATTTCTCTGATAAGAAGTATGTCAACTCTCTCTCTCTCTCTCTCTCTCTCTCTCACACACACACACACACACACACAAAGAGAGAGAGAGAGAGAGAGAGAGAGAGAGAGAGAGAGAGAGAGAGAGAGAGAGAGAGAGAGAGAGAGACATACCCACTGATCAGATAGTCCTCAGTTAACTGTAATTGAGACTGGCAACTCTATTGCTAAGTGAGGTGGTCATAAAATCACGTCTCTCTCTCTCTCTCTCTCTCTCTCTCTCACACACACACACACACACACACACACACACACACAAAGAGAGAGAGAGAGAGAGACATACCCACTGATCAGATAGTCCTCAGTTAACTGTAATTGAGACTGGCAACTCTATTGCTAAGTGAGGTGGTCATAAAATCACGTCTCTCTCTCTCTCTCTCTCTCTCTCTCTCTCTCTCTCTCTCTCTCTCTCTCTCTCTCTCACACACACACACACACACACACACACACACACACACACACACACAAAGAGAGAGAGAGAGAGAGACATACCCACTGATCAGATAGTCCTCAGTTAACTGCAATTGAGACTGGCAACTCTATTGCTAAGTGAGGTGGTCATAAAATCACGTGGCTGCACTGGCATCCGGTGGTAGCTCTGGCAACGGCCGTTAAAGAAATTGTGCCTTAAGCATGGTATTATGCGGCCGTGACTTCCAACCTCCTGCCAGCTTCCCCATCAACTTTGCTTGTCAGAAGCTGGCTGTGAAGGTTGCCATGGTGATCATGTGACCACGGGATGCTACAACCATTATTATTGCATGCCGATTGCCAAATCGTGATTACACGGCCGCAGGGTCACTGCAATAGCACTGCAACTTTGAGGATTGGTGGTAAGTCTCCTTGCCCAGCACCGCTGCAATCGGTCACTCAATGAGTGGTCACTAAAGGAGAACTGCCCGTAGTGGATGATTGTTCAGCTTGTCCTGTTTCTCTTGCATTTCCTTCTCCTCTCCAAGGCCAGCTGTGCTCTCCTTTTCCCCTCCTGCCTTCTCCAAGTTCTCCTTGCTTTCTTATTTGCCCGGAAGGGATCTTCCCGTCCTCTCCTGGTGCCGGAAGTGGCTCTTCCCATGCAGGGAGACGAGCGAGGAAAGTGCCTTGAACTTCTGTCTCTTCCACAGCTGCCACCCTCTCTGCCGCAGCTCCCGGAGGTGCAGAAGCCCCTTGGGCAGCAGGCCTGGTACCATGGTGCCATTCCCCGCATGGAGGTGCAGAAGCTTCTGCAGACCAATGGTGACTTCTTGGTGCGTGAAAGCCAAGGCAAACAGGAGTACGTCCTCTCGGTGCTGTGGGAAGGGCAACCACGGCACCTTATCCTGCAGGCTGCTGATGTGAGTGCTCGGGGGAACCTCAGGGCAGCAGTGGGAGGCTACACCCTGTGCCAGGGGTAGACAACCTTGGCTCTTTTATGACTCGTGGACTTCAACTCCCAGAATTCCTGAGCCAGCCATGCTGAGGGGAAAGGGAGAGGTTTCCAAGCTGAGCCATGTTGGCTCAGGAATTCTGGGAGTTGAAGTCCACGTGTCATAAAAGAGCCAAGGTGGCCTACCCCTGCCTGTGCAAACAAGTCAAGCATGTTCCATTCACCGTTGCTTATTGGGAACAAGCCTTCTACTCCAGTACTGGCTGTCATTTCTGGCCCTTTGTAGGAAAGTCCTAGGGACCTTGATTGAGCAGAACCGATCCCCAAGGAGTCCAGAATCCTGTGCATGAGATTGCCAGTGAACGCACCAAAGCTGAGTTTCAGTGCTGCCCTTTGACATCGGAGCACCCATACAGAATTTGGCAGGTGGTGGGCCTGAAGGCTCATGCAAGCGGAGTGGATGGCAAAGGAGTAGACAGCATGGAGTCATCTGCCTGATAGTTCCCTGGGCTGGAGTTCTGCTCAAAGAAATTTGAGCCACATGCTCCACCAGTTCAACTCTGGTGTATTCTAGAAGAAAGCTATTTCTGTGCAAAGGATGGCATTCCCTGTTCTCTACATTGCGAGTTTTAGCTGGATATGATCTTGGGCCAGCTGTGTACTGTGACCTTGTATACAGTTTATGTATCGATAGAACCCACAATTCTTGGCCTTCTTCAAGAGTGAAGTTAGCAGGAGGGAAATTCTTTGTAGGAGATCTAGTGTGGAATACCATTCTGCCACCAGCTGGCTTGGGAGGCTGTAGGTTGGTACGAGAATCCTGTTCCGTTTAGGAAAATGTAGAAGAGGACGCAGTGGCGTAGAAGGGGAAGTGACTTTCCCCACAAAATGTAGCCTTCCAGAGTAATGGTGGGGTGCTCTTTCCCCCAGAATCTGTACCGCTTGGAGAGTGAGGCTTTTCCCACCATTCCGCTGCTGGTTGACCATTTCCTCAAGTCCAGGCAGCCCATCACGAAGAAAAGTGGCATTGTGCTGGTCAAGCCCGTCCCCAAGGTAGGAACCGGATGGTGGTGATGGAGAGGGTGCTGGAGAGCGTCTGGGGGGGAAATGACGGGCTGCTCTTCCCCCAGGACAAGTGGGTGTTGGACCATGAAGACGTTGTGCTGGGCCAGCGCATTGGGCAGGTGAGTGATGCCTCAGCCAAGCAACCCCTCTGAATAGAGGAAGCACCTGGCTGATCTGTTGTGCCCTCATCCATGCCCAGAACTTTCCTTTTAGAGCAATAGGTTATTTTACAAACTTGCGTTGCCCCCCCCCCCCGCCTCATTGAAAAGGAAGCCATCCGCTTTTGGATGTGCTCCTTGTCCAGTCTTTCACTGAAAGGGCACATGGTCAGCAGGCTCTGTGTCAGCAGATCCCTGCTCTGGATCCCCCGGGCTCTGTGTTCACTGCTGCACAAGTTCACCCTACAGTTTTGTTGGCCTTTGCATTATTTTCCTTTGAGTTCTTGGCTCCAAGCCTTTAGGGATGGACCTGACTCTGGAATCATACTCTTTGTTCCTCTGGAAGGTTTTTTTTTGGCCGTACAAAGGAGCTAAAAGACCTTTTTGTGGATTAGGGGAAGGGCTTATTTAGCTGATAGTTCTGCACGAAGGCCTGTTTTAAATAATTATGAATATGATCTCAGTTCTGTTCCAGGGATTGATTAAAATGTATTGCTGTGTTGGTTTAATGTTGTTTACGGAGTCCTGAGTTCATTTCATTGAATTGATTTCCAATTGTTGTTTTTTATCCTGCTGCAATCTTGTGTTAGTGGCAGGTGTTTCTCTCTGAAAGGTGAGTTGTGAAGGCACTTAGCAATAGTTGTTCTTCAGAAGTTTAGGAACTTGCTGGTTCTGCCAGAATGCAGCAAGTTTCAAGCTCCCTTTTCCAGCCTTTGGCTACTCCTTGCCATGCTGAAGGAGGGGCTGCTGCTACATGGTCTCGGCCCTTATTCCACAGGGCAATTTTGGAGAGGTCTTCAGTGGATTATTGCGTGGCAGTAACACTCCAGTGGCAGTGAAATCCTGCCGTGAAACGCTTCCAAATGAGCTGAAGACCAGGTTTCTACAGGAGGCTGGGTACGTATGGCTCTTTGTTAGCTGAGGCCTTCAGCCAATCACTGCAGCACAGACACCAAGGCCACGTTCAGGATCTCCCTTTCAATAGAAGGTGAGGGAACGCATAGCTCCTTCACTGGCCAGTTTCCCTGAGGGAGGCATTCGGAGCTTCTGCCTGCTCTGGCAGATCAGCAGAGAGCCTGGAGAGCCTGCCTTAGTGGCACAATGGTTAGAATGCAGCACTGCAGGCTATGTCTGCTGACTGCTGGCTGCCAGCAGCTTGGCAGTTCGATCTTGACCGGCTCAAGGTTGACTCAGCCTTCCATCCTTCCAAGGTCGGTAAAATAAGGACCCAGATTGTTGGGGCAATATACTGACTCTGTAAACTGCTTAGAGAGGGCTGTAAAGCACTAAGTGCCAATAGTCTATTGCTATTGCTTTGCCGTCTTGTGGCATATCTGCGTTTGATACTGGGGGCTCCTCTTTTCTGAGCATTTGAGAGGAGGCAGCAGGCACAGCTCAAGGAAGCTGGCTATGAAGACTTCGGTGTTGTTTTTGCAAGTCTTTCTTAACCAGAGATATTGAAGAAGGGGATTAGGTTACAGAAATCTTGGCAACATTTACTGTACCATTCAGTTTATCCCAATCCTCTTGGTAACCACCCACCGATACCCGGAGGAGTGCTAGCGATTCTTCTGACGAAGCACATGCAGATCTTCTGCACTGCATATTTTGCAACAGCCATCCACTTTCCCAGGCTCTGAGAAGCCCATTATGGCCTGCCCCTTCCAGCTGCGTCTACTCTCCCTCTAGGATCCTGAAGCAGTATAGCCATCCTAATATTGTCCGGCTCATTGGAGTCTGTACTCAGAAGCAGCCAATCTACATCGTCATGGAGCTTGTAAAGGGTAAGTCTGTCCTTTTGCTCCACTTGCTTTCTTGAAACTTGGAGCCTGGATTCTGCCCTCCACCAACATTTCCAGGAAGTAATGATGGAGGCCAGGGCTGGCCGTTATGTTGGCTTAAGAATGTTCTCTCTACCTACCTTGATAGCGGCTACTTCATGAATGCCCAGGTGCCCCTCCTCTTTTCTCTGCTGAGGAAAGGCTGAACTAGATTTCATGACTTGGGATGCTCCTGTCCCCGAGGAATACCGACCTAAGGTGGGAAGAGTAGCAGGCATGAGCCTCTGCCTTCTCCCTCCCCAGGGGGCGACTTCCTGACCTTCCTGCGCAACGAGAGGGCTCGGCTGACAGTCAAGGAGCTCCTGAAGATGATGGAGAACGCTGCCGCAGGGATGGAATACCTGGCCAGCAAGCGCTGCATCCACCGGTAAGTCTACTCAGCCCAACCTGCAGCCAAGTCAGGAGGGCTTTGTGGTAGGTTTAGCTGAGTCCTTCCCGATGCTTCTGCCTGGGGGTGTCAGCTGGCCCTTTCCAATCTCTCCGAGGCTGCTGATTGCTGCGATCAGAGTGCAGGGTTATGCTGAGCGAGAGTCGATCGAGTCAGCTGCCTTGTGCCCTGGTGGAAAAGCCAGGGGACCCTCTCTTTGAAGGGGCAGAGAAATAGCGAGATGGCCATTTGCAGAGGCTGCTGGAAAAGTACCTGACCACAACTAGACTTGAGCATGACTCAGGCGCTGATACGCAGGTTCTGAGGTTTTGCTTGATTAAAAAATACAGGAAACCAGAAGTTGCCTTCAAGAGTTACGTGTTTATTCAGCTGAACAAAGACGGGCTTCTCTAAAAAGAGAAAAGCCCCAAATATCGAAAAAGCCTTATTTTTATAAGCAATTCACCCAGCAAAGCTGACCCATATAAGATAAAGACGTCGCCCTGTAAGGCTGGCATACTGTAGATGAAAAAGGAAGAAAGCAGAAGTAGCAAATACGTTCCCTTTTGGGTGGTTTGGATGTTTCCCCAAGGCACCGTAGGTTCCCGGTTGGGTTAGGATATTGGCTGTTTCCTATGCTGTCCTTTCATGAACTTGCAACCACGGGTCTGCAAGTGGCCAGAGAGAGCGGGGCCATCTGCAGGTATTCACAATTGCTAGTGTCCCCTAAGCCTGGGTCAACGGTGCCTCCGAGCAACCACCTGACTGGTATCTGTGATTCTGCTGCTTTCCAGAGATCTGGCGGCACGGAACTGTCTGGTGGCGGAAAATAACACTCTGAAAATCAGTGATTTTGGGATGTCACGGGAGCAAGTAGATGGCGTTTACTCCTCCTCGAGTGGAATGAAACAAATCCCTGTGAAGTGGACAGCCCCAGAGGCACTCAGTTACGGTACATAGTTCCGAGGCTCTGGCCCTGCAAATGCCATAGTCCAGGCCTGCTGCAGAGCTTTGGCTGGGTGGTTTTCAGCCGCTACCGTGGATATTGAGCTTCTTGCAACCACCTTGTCCAATCCCTGCCAGAAAGATTGAAGATTATGGGCAGCCTCCATGCTTCCAGCTCATGCCTGCTACTCTCCCCACCTATCCAGCCATAAGGAGTCTTTCACTACAGACCTCGAAACCCCAGGACGACACCCTTCGAAAGTCGGACCCACGGTGTGGCATACGGTTATACTTGTTGGTCGTCTGGGCACTTCGACACCTCTTCCCACTCAGGGTTTTCCTCCGTGTCTCATCGTTTCAGGTACGTCAGTACACCGTTTACTAAGACTTCTCCCAACCGAACTGCTTGGCTGCTGTGTACCTGGGGACGAGACTTGAGACCTAAGTAGGAAGCTAGAGGGTCGGAAGTGACAGGGGTAAATGTCACGGCCAAGCCATGGGGATTCGGCAATTAGTTGCTATTTTCCCTGCAGATCCATCAGGAAGATATTAAGTGAGCTGTGAAAAGGTGGCTCTGTTTCTTGTTAGATGTCCTTTCCATAACCTGGTTGCCCCTTTTTCCAGGTACTCGTCTGAGTGCTCCAGCCCAGTGTCCCGAAGATGTATACCAGCTCATGTTAAATTGTTGGGAATACGAGCCACACAAACGACCCAGCTTCAGCAGCATGCTCCAAGACCTGATTGTGATTCAGAAGAAGCAGCGGTGAGAACGCTAATCTCAGGAGGTCTGCATGGACACTTCTCAAATCCTATGCTGTGCTGATATCCCAGACCATGGCCTTTCACTCCCGGCATATACAGACCGTCTCCAATCAGGTCACCTGCCTGCTTGTGGCCAGAAGAGACCTAAAGCTTCGTTCTTTGAAGTCATCTGTATTTTCTCTAAAGTTGAAAATAATAATTATAATGTCCAGATTATATTCTCAAAAATGCATGCTTAATTGAAAGCAAGTTCCAATCTTCACCTCAAATAAAATAGACAAGATGCGAAGCTATAGAAGAAGGAATTGAAGGAGTAAGAGGCTTCGTATTTTATAAACCCTTCCCTGTGATGGGGTGGAGGTAGGTTTTAATGTTTCCTTTGAAACTAAACTGTGGCACTTCATTATGGTTATAGAAGTACCACCTTATACCAGAAACAAAGCAGGCGATACTTCATCCAAAACTTGCCACAATATTCACCATTTACAGCCCCGATATAGCAGCATCTGTTCAGATCCACATGATACGAACAATCCAGGATTGAAAGGAGGCCAGAACATTCGCCCAATGAAACAGATCAACCAAACCATCACGGTTTCTAGGAAAGCAGCAGCACGGCTTGTCTTGATAGCTCCCAAACAAAGCCTCTGGAACAGTGGTTCTCAACCTGTGGGTCGGGACCCCATTTGGGGTCGATCGACCATTTCACGGGGGTCGCCAAGCAAGGCTGTCCGCCATTTTTTTGTCCGCCATTTTCCCCCCTTTTCCAGCGGGTGCCTTACCTCCCTTGGGCTGGGCCAGCTGGTGGTCGGCCTGCTCCGTCTCTGCCGCTTGCCAGCTACGCCTCGGCCGGCGCAGGGGGCGGAACCACACATGCGCGGTGCTCCCGGGCAGGGAAAGTCCTCGACTTACGATCGGTTGGGTAGTCCTCGACTTATGAGCGGTTTAGTCCTCGACTTATGACCGGTTGGGGGTCGCTGCATTAAAAAGGTTGAGAACCACTGCTCTGGAAAAATCAGGAATTAGCATCAGTAATTTATTGGCACGACCTTCCTTCCTTAAACTGCTATGGCCAGTAACAACAGGCCACCCCAGAGCGGTCCAGGCCCAGGGACCAATTCTTGCAGGAGAACCAGGTGCTGGCCCTGCCCTCCCTTCTAGGAACATCACCACAGCCCTGGGGATGTGCATCTGCTGCTTCTCCATCGCCAATCGTAAATCCATGCTTGCCTCTTTTGGTCTCTCCCATCTTTGAAGTTATTTAATGTGCCAGTTCAGTGGGAAGATACAGATGGCCAATGTTTTGGTCATTATTAAGCCAATTTTAGGGCTTCAACAACACTTTCAACAACTCATCCAGGTCGCCACTGGCTGGCACGTTGGGCTAAACGGAGGGGCCTTAACAGCCCGCAGAGCCCCTCAGGGCAAGAAGAGGCTCCGGGAGGAAACTCACCGCGGCTGCTTCGGGCCTTTGGCACAAATGGCGAGGAGCGGAGCCCTTGTCTGGGCAGCTGGGCCCTCCCCCCACCCTCGCGTAGCCCTTGTGGGGCCACAGCCGCAGGCCACAACGGGGGCGACGGAGCGGCCCTGGGCGCCAAGCCGGGGAGCCTGCCCGTGGGCACCCCCAGCGCCCCAGGCCCGTCTTGCGGCGGGCGCTGGGGGAGCGAGGCGGCGCCCCACCTGCCTCCGAGGCGCTTCGGGCCCGGCTCGGCCTCGCCGGAGGAGGAGGAGGNGGCGGGGGGGGGACGAGGGGGGTCCCCCAGGCTGACCAGCCTCTCTCTCCCCCCCGCGCAGAGCCAGATCTCGGCGCTGCAGAGCCGCATCGAGCAACTGGAGCAGTTGCTGGAGGAGAACCACGAGATCATCGGCCGCATCAAGGACTCGGTGCTGGAGCTGACGGCCGGGCACGAGGGGCGGACCGCGCCGCTGCCCGTCCGGCTGCCCAACGGCTCCTGGGCGCTGCCCGCCAACGGCCGGCCCGGCTTCTTCTCCGTGGCGCCCGGAGACTGCCGGCCAGGCCCGCGCGCCGCCCGCCCCGAGCCCGACCTGCAGGTGAGTGTGTGTGTGTGTGTGTGAGTGGAGGAAGCCGGGGAGGGGGAGCCGCCCGACGCCCCTACCGCCTCCCACCTCCTCGGCCCGCAGATGCTGGCGGTGTCGGCGCTGCTGCCCTACGACAACCAGGACGGCGGGGCGTGGAAGCAGGGCTTCGAGATCACCTACGAGCCCCACGAGTGGGACGCGCAGCCGCTGCAGGTCTTCGTGGTGCCCCACTCCCACAACGACCCAGGTGAGACAGACGGCGGGGGGGGGGGGAAGGCAGGCGCGGGCAGGCTGCCCTTCCCTGGGGGGGGGTGGGACGGGACTCGGGGCTGCCTGCCTGGGGCTGTGGCAGGGAGGGGGGTGCGGAGCTGGTGGGCCCAAAAGGTCCGGTCCTGGAGGGGCAGGATGCAGAATTGGGTGGCGAAGGAGAAAGGCCTGAGCGTAATGTCCCACTGCTCAGAGGCTTATCCTCATTTTTTTCCTATGTGATTTATCCCCACTTCAATGCTTACTTTTCGGAGTCAGTGGTTACAGAGGCAGAAAAGAATTAAATGGTAAACCAAAGAAATTAAACGCATAAAAAGCAAATGCACCTCAGAAAAAACAATATAACAGAGAAGGAAATGAAAGTATATATAGGTAGCTCAAGACTGAACCTTGGAATCCTTGGTGCTCTTTGAGCTGGGTTGTTTTCTTGCAGACGTTTCATAACCCAAACTAGGTAACATCGTCCATGCAGGGAGCGGGGTTTGCTCTCAGTTGATGTTCCAATGGCTTCTTGCCCTGTCAGTGTTGGTGTTTTGGGTCTTAGAAGTTCTTGGTTGGGCTGTTTACTATTGACCTGTTTGGCAATTCCTTGATTGCAGTATTGTTTACGTCTTGATTGCTGGTCTGATGTTAACCTTGGTGTTAACCTCTGCTGATCTGGGTGCTGATTGCTGGCAGGGAGTGTTTTGGTCTGTTTGTTCCCTTTTTGCACAATATGTTGGCTTGTAAGGCAGCCTCTAGATTGGATTTTCCAGTTGGGATAGAACAGGAGTAGGCAACCTTGGCTCTTTTATGACTCATGGACTTCAACTCTGAGAATCCCTGAGCCAGCATGGCTCAGCTTGGAAACCTCTCCCTTTCCCCTCAGCATGGCTGGCTCAGGAATTCTGGGAGTTGAAGTCCACGAGTCATAAAAGAGCCAAGGTTGCCTACCCCTGCCCAAATGCCTGAATTTTGATCACGTGACTGTGAGGAAAAATATTTAAATATTTAAACCAGGGGTCTTCAAACTTGGCCCTTTGATGACTCGTGGACTTCAACTCCCAGAATTCCTCAGCCAGCATGGGGGAACTATGGCCCCTTCATGACTTGGGGACTTCAACTCCCAGAATTCCTCAGCCAGCACGGCTCAGCATGGAAACCTCTCCCTTTCCCCTCAGCATGGCTGGCTCAGGAATTCTGGGAGTTGAAGTCCACGAGTCATAAAAGAGCCGAGGTTGCCTACCCCTGAGATAGAAGAACAGGAGCTTGCTTGGCTCACCTTACTTTGTGGCATGGGCTTGATGACTTTAAGTTGGCAATCTGGTTGTGTTTCCTGTCTGGCTTATCTGGGAATGCCAACAACTCCCCAAGGCTCAGGTGTCAGAGCAGACTTCTCCTGGGTGTGGGAGATAAACAGAGCCTCCATGACACTGCAGACATCTAGGATTCCCAAAGGCCCCTGGAAGCTGAGGCCTACTGCCCCATTCTACGTGTGCTGAAGGATTATTTTGAACAACATTTTTAAAAAGCACATACAGTACAAAGCAAAGTGCTGGAACCAACTTGATTGCCAAGAATGCCTCTGGATTTCCAAGAGGTTCCTTAGAAAATGAAAAGGATGGTCAGGGCCTTGTTCACAACCTAAAAAAGACCCCCTTCGCTTCGTAGTTGGTAGAGGGTGAATATCCTGGGGCTAGGGAGGGGGGGGCTGGGAGAGAGATCCCTCAGAGGACTTGGTGCTGCTTCCCTGGCTGCTTTGATTGGGTCAGTCATTTTGTGAATCATCCAAGCTGTGTTCCCAAGAGGCCCAAAGTACTTATGGCCACTGCTGGGCATGCTGAAGCCCGGGGCATTCCTGAAGGAAGGGGTGTGTCACAGCACCTCATTTTGGTTTTCTCTGGGATGCCCAATACAGGAGGGCCTGCTAAGAGTTAACAGAATAAGAGCCCGGGGTCCCTAGGCTTTCTGGTGGGGAGCCTGGAAAGCTGGTCCAATATGAGGAAGCAGAGGAAGGATGGGATCTCCTTTGAAGAGGAAAGCGATGCAGGGAAGCGGGTTCTGGCTGAACAGCAAGAGAAGCAAAGAGGGGTTTTTTTTGATGAAAGACCGGATCAGCTGAAGAAATGGCAGCCTTTTATTTCCTAGCAACATCTAAGCAGTTTAACATGTTTGCTAAGGAAAATATAATTCTGAAAGAATAGAAAAGAGGCTAATGTGTTTTATCAACAGCCTTATCGATATCCAATAAAGTAATTATAGCAGATCCACTTTAGCATTATTTAAAGTTAGACCATTTACCAATCTCATATAATCAGCTCTTCATCTAAAATGAAAAACACTTGATCAGTATGTGTCAGGGAGAAAGGGGTATTGATTCCTAGATATATGAAATATTTGCTTGCTTGAGTCACAAGGAACAAAGTTGCTGCTGCTTTTGTTCATACACCGAAGTTTTAACTGGCTCTTCTCCAGGTTCCTCAAACCTGAGCCATGGGCATGTTACTGCAAAGTCTACCTTCATAAAAACCATTTTATTTCAATCATTATAGTTCCTTGAAATGATACGGCAAGAGATGTGTAGCAAATTGGGACCACAGTAGCATATTCTTGTTCAATTTCTCTTCCTGACATCTCCTCTTTTTGCCAAGAGCTACTGTGTCAACATATTTGTGATGGGTGTGTTATAATGCCCCCTTGTCTCTTACTCAAAGGCTGGATCAAGACATTTGACAAATACTACGTCGATCAGACTCAGCACATTCTGAACAATATGGTGCTGAAGCTGCAGGAAGACCCCCGGCGGCGCTTCATCTGGTCTGAAATCTCCTTCTTCTCCAAATGGTGGGACAACATCAGCAGCCAAAAACGGGCTGCAGTCCGCAGGTAACTGCAGGCGGTGTGTGGATGTGTGATTTATTTTCTGATTTCAGAATTTGGGAAACATAACTTTAGAAGGGTCATATCATGGGTTGAGTGTAACGTAGCTTAGTTGGCCTCATCCATGCCATGGAAGGACTTGGTGCAGAAATGTAAACATTTCAACCACAGAGATAATCCTGTATGCAGAAGTACTAGAGGAACTAGTCTGCTGCAAAAGATGTACAATTTGTTTTGAGCAGTAGAGGTCATGAGGAAGAACATCTCCCTAAGCAACTTGGACATCATACATTTGTTTGTGTTTCCTCTGTCACCCACAAAAGCTGAAACAAATTGCTCCCAAATTTCATTGGGGAATTTGAGAATTGGTTTTCCACCCACCTTATAAAAAATCAGTAGGATGTTAAGTGTTGAAAGTGTAACGCTGATGGAACAGAGAGTGTTAGCAGGAAACAATTATTTCTGGTTTCAAAGATACACGAATATAGATGAAAAATATAAGAGAATGATATAAAAGCTTGCATAGGGATAACAAGCCAAAAAATGCAAAGACAGGGTTCTTCATTGAAATATATACAGGCAAAGAAATAATATTACATATGGGACATAGTGGTACTATTCCATACTGTTATATGTGAACATTGTGCATGAACCAGGCCACTGTGTTAAGCTGAAAGGGAGTTTGTGTGGCTTGGGTGTTATGTGAAAACTGCCATTGTGATGTGCTAAGTGTATTTTGTATTTAACCATGTGGTACAATTTCAGAAATTCTGTTTGGGGATGTTGGCTTTTTTTGTGGGATATTTTGACCAATTTTTTAAAAGTTTGAATCACTCTTGGAGAATATCTAGACTGTGGCTTGAGTGGGCAGGAGGGTGCAGGTATTTTATATCTGAGCATCTTTAGTTCAGAATGCTCTATTACAGGTGGCTCCAATCATTCCAAAAATTAGACGTCTTGAATTTGAATGAGTTCATAATGGGACTGTTCTGGATAAAACGCTTCAGAAATGGTTGGCCCAGCCCGGTTTAAATGTTCAGACATTTTGGAATGATGTTTTGCACTTGCCTCCTTTGGAGATTTTTTTGACCCAGAGCTCTTGTTTGCAGGCTCATAGGGAATGGGCAGCTTGAGATGGCCACAGGAGGCTGGGTGATGCCAGATGAAGCTAATTCCCACTATTTTGCCATGATTGACCAGCTCATTGAAGGGCACCAATGGCTGGAGAAGAACATTGGTGAGTGCCGTGACTGAGGCCGGCGGTGTGCGAGGGCCAGGCAGAAGCACTGGTGACAGCATCGCTTGGAAGGGGTTTGGGGCCACTTGGGAGGAACCCCATCTTTGTAGCTGGGCACTTCCAGTAGCTCTCAGGCTGGAATTTTGGATGCTGTATCAGAAAGAAGCAAGCCGTCACCAGGAGGAAAGCCTTCCATGGGATGTGCTTCCATTGGCACATCTCATCTTTGAGCCACGTCCTGTATGTTTAAAGGCCTGGTTTGAGAGCGGGAGGGAGAGTCTGGCTGTGCCGGGGCACCGAATGCGAGGTAGAAGCACCTCCAGCCAGGTTTATGGCTTTCTACTCCAGTTTGCTGGCAGGTGGAAGCTATGGATTGCTTTGCCTTGACAGAGGAGGAGGAGGAGGAGGAGGAGAGTCTGGAGGGGAAGCTGATAGCACCCCTTTGTACAAGGACTCACGTAGACCGAATGGCAGGACACCAGCAGGGTCGACGTTGCCTTGGCAGGGCAGAGGGGGCTGGGCAGGAGGGCCGCAGCCGGCCTTGCGAGTGACTTCTCTCTCTTCAGCAGGGGTGACCCCACGCTCCGGCTGGGCAGTGGATCCCTTTGGTCACAGCGCCACGATGCCTTACCTCCTGCGTCGGGCTAACCTGACCAGCATGCTCATCCAGCGTGTCCACTATGCCATCAAGAAGCACTTTGCAGCTACTCAGAGCCTGGAGTTCATCTGGAGGCAGAGTTGGGGTGAGGGCTTGGGGACCCTGCCCTCACTCGTCTTCCCGAGCATTGGGCAGCCCCCTCGGAATTTTTATTCGTATCTCGCCTTGATTAATCTTACAAATAGCTCAAGGCAGCAAACGTATCCAATACACTTTCCTCCTCTTCCTGTTGCACCCCCCCCAACAACCACGCAGAGCCTGGCTCTCTCCCCAGCAGCCAGGATGTGCTGCCCCCTCATGTCAGTTGACTAGGCCGGCTTGGTCTAGGTGGGGCCTGCGGGGGCCATTTGGGTGGGCAGGAGCGTGAATCTGCTCTGGTTTGCCCCCCTGCCCCAGATGCAGACTCCAGCACAGACCTCCTCTGCCACATGATGCCTTTCTACAGTTATGATGTGCCCCACACTTGTGGGCCTGACCCGAAGATCTGCTGCCAATTTGACTTCAAGAGGCTGCCAGGTGGGCGCATCAACTGTCCCTGGAAAGTCCCTCCCAAGGCCATCACCAGCAGCAATGTGGCCGAGCGGTGAGTGACCGAGAGGGGCTCGGGACCGGTCCCGCCTCTGAAACGCCTTTGTAGCCCTTCCTGCTTTCTTCCTCTTGGTCTTCTTCGTGCCCTGCTCTCCCTCCCTCCCTGCCTCCCAAGCAGTCTCGGGGGGCCTTGTCAGCCAGCCTGGCTTCCTCCCTCCCCAGGGCACAGCTTCTGCTTGACCAGTACCGGAAGAAGTCCAAGCTGTTCCGAAGCAGCGTCCTGCTGGTGCCCCTGGGAGATGACTTCCGCTACGACAAGCCCCAGGAATGGGATGCCCAGTTCCTCAATTACCAGCGCCTCTTTGACTTCCTGAATGCCCGTCCAGAGCTGCACGTGCAGGTGTCCTGCCCGGTCTTGGCCAAGGAGGGTGAAGGCAGGATGGGGGGGGGTGCCTCGCTGAGGTCCTGGTCTCTGACGTGATGCTCGCTCTCTCCTGCAGGCCCAGTTTGGGACACTCTCAGACTATTTTGATGCCCTGTACAAGCAGATGGGCATCATCCCGGGCATGAACCCGCCGGGCTTCCCAGTGCTCAGTGGGGACTTTTTTTCCTACGCAGACCGGGAGGACCACTACTGGACAGGCTACTACACTTCCCGGCCCTTCTATAAGAGCATGGGCCGAGTGCTCGAAGCCCATCTCCGGTGAGTGGCCCCCCGGGGGGGAGGGGCTCTGCTGGGGAACCCTACTTCAGCCTTGCGCAACTAATGGCCTCTTTGCCCTGTTGCCACAGGGCTGCTGAGACCTTATACAGCTTGGCCCTGAGTCACGCCCGCCACGTTGGCATGGAAAGCAGGTACCCACTGTCCGATTATGCCATGCTCACAGACGCCCGGCGCAATCTGGGGCTCTTCCAGCATCACGATGCCATTACTGGCACCGCCAAGGAAGCAGTAGTGGTGGACTATGGTGTCAGGTAGGAGCAAGCCTTGGCTGCTGGACAGGGGCAGCGGAGCCCAGCTTCCTGCTTGGTTAACCTTCTCCTTCTCGTTCCACCCCAGAATGCTCCACTCGCTGATGAATGCCAAGAGGGTCATCATCAATGCTGCCCATTACTTGGTCCTGGCAGACAAGGAGGCCTACCACTATGACATGGCAATGCCCTTCCTTGGCGCAGTGAGCTCCCATCTCCCTGTGCCTTTTATGCCTGGAGGAATGTTAGCGAAGGGGTAGGGGCCTCTTTGGGACACGCTCAGTCTCCTTCTCCCTTCCAGGATGAGACCCGTCTCAACCAGGACTCCCTGCCAGAGAAAATGGTGATCAAATTGGATGCCACACCCAGGTGGGAGAAGGGGGGCGGGAGTGCTGCCAGCCAGGGGAAGTGGGGTCTGGCAACTGTCCGGACCGAGTTCTGCTGCTGGTGGAACCAGGTACAGTGCTTGCTAACCCCTCTTGCAGGTTTGTGGTGGTATTCAATCCGCTGGAGCAAGAACGCCTGACTGTGGTATCCCTGCTGGTGAACACCCCTCGGGTCTGCATCTTGAATGAGGAAGGGCAGCCCCTTGCTGTGCAGCTCAGTGCCCAGTGGCAGTCTGCCACAAACATGGTGCCCGATGTCTTCCAGGTAGTTTGGGAGACTTGGCAGGGGAAACAGGGACGACAGAGACAAATCTTGTAAGATTGCAGGTCCAGGGGGACCATAGATTGTGTGGACCTGAATTTCATATTCCAGCTTTTGTCTCAATTAATCGGGAAAGTTTCTGGGGGAGGGCATGGGTGTGTGTGGATGCCCGGCCTTTTCCCCGAGAGGCCCCACCGCAGACTTTATGGAAGAACCTTGCCGTGGTCTTAGCCTTCATTGCGTGGACGGATGGGCCTGAAGGACCAGACTTATTTTATTCTTCATTGACAGGTGTCTGTCATGATACGCCTGCCGGCACTGGGCCTCACCATCCTGCAATTGGTCAAGTCTTTTGACAGCCACAACACGCTGACCTCTTCGGTGCGCCTCTTCCTGCACGGCCGTGATTTCGCTGGGCATAAGCACGAAGCCCTCCCCATACAGGTCCTGCCCACCACTGTGGACGATTTCTGCCTGGAGAACCAGCACTTGAGAGCTTGTTTCTCAGGGCCGAGCGGCTCGCTCAAGGTGACGCGCAGAGGGGACAAGGCTGGAGGGGAAAAGGGAGGGCAGGGGGAGGAAATGTACTAACTGGTGCTCGGCTTGTGGACTGCAGAGTGTGCATCATGTTGGCGACAAATGGGAGCAGCAGCTGAGCAGCCAGTTCCTCATCTACGGGACCCGGACGACCAAGGACAAGAGCGGTGCCTACCTTTTCCTGCCCGATGGTGAAGCCAAGGTCTGAGCGGGCTGCCTGGGCTGGGGTTGCTCACCTTTACCTGGGAAGGGGTGAAGACAGAAGTGGTCCTCACTTGGACAGCCTGCTGAGCCTGCATCTTGTCTGTCTGTCTGTCTGCCATGAGACATGATGCTTGGCTGGTTTCCAAAAGGGTGGGACCAAGTCACGGGGGTCCTAGTCGTCTCTTGGGAGACTCGCAGGCTTCCTTGGGTACCTCGTTGGCCGCTGGGAGAGCAGACCACTGGATGAGGTGGGCCAGGGGATCTGATGCAGCAGGGTTGCTTAGGATGGATGCTGCCTCGTGGCTTTCCAAATGGGCATGAAACACTGCCTTTCTCATCCCCAGGGATGGGAGGGCAGCCTTTGTGGGAGGTGGGAGAGCCTTTTCTGTCTGTTCCCAGCACGAGTCAAGCAGCTGTTACACTCAGGCCACCCCATCCTCAACCTGCAAGCAGCCTCTGTGACTCCCGGTCTTTGCTGATGGGGAGGTGGGCGAGGGGCACATCCCAGCCATGGATGCACTGGCAGAGTGTGGCTGCCTGCTGGATTCTGCCACGGATGGCTTTGGGCTCCTGCTTTCACATCAGCAGTGCTTGCTTGACTTTGATGGATGACTTACTCATCGCTTCCCTGGAGAAAATGCTCTGCCTAATATTTGATAAGTGCTACAAAGAGGGTTTAATGGTTTCAGGACAGCCGCTACTGCTGCTGCTTCTTTTTAGAATCTGGGATTTCTCCCAAAAAGCTTGTTAATTGTTAACATTTTCGAACATGCACCTTGGTGTAATTGTTTTTAAATTGCATTATGTAGTACCATTAAAGACTAGTAAAAGGCAGGCCAGAAATAGATTTAAGCTGGATCAGAGCCACTTCCCTGCTTGCATCGGCTCCCCCCATTTTCTTCTTTGTAGCCCTACACCCCCAAGGACCCTCCGGTGGTGCGGGTGACCGAGGGGCCCTTTTTTTCAGAGGCAGCCATTTACTACCAGCACGTCCAAGAGGTGGTCCGGCTCTACAATGTGCCAGGTGAGAACTTTGGCCGCGCTGCGGGATGGGGTGTGGTGGCCCAGAGTGGGCCAGTCACATCACGCTGCGTCTCTGGCCACAGGGGTGGACGGCCTCTCCCTGGAGATCTCCTGCCTGGTCGACATTCGTGACCACGTCAACAGGGAGCTGGGTCTGCGCTTCAGCAGCAGCATTGAGAGCAAGGGCAGGTTCTTCACTGACCTGAATGGCTTCCAGGTAAAGGGCTGGCAGAAGCTTGAACCCCCCCCTTTACCCCCTCCCTGGTGCAGCTGGAGAAGCCGCCCACAGGTTTGCCAACTGTACCTGCCCCGCAGATCCAGCCCCGGCAGTACCTGGAGAAGCTGCCACTGCAGGCCAACTTCTATCCCATGCCAGTCATGGCCTACATCCAGGACAGCCAGCACCGCCTGACTCTGCACACAGCCCAGGCCTTGGGAGTGTCCAGCCTGGGCAGCGGTGAGTGTGATGGAATGGGTACAGAAGCACCCAGCGGTCAGTCTGGGGGGAAAGCCAGGAGGAGGAGCGCTGTGCTTGAGGTTTGGGAGAATCCTTCATTTGCTCAGAGAGATCCTGGTGGTGGGACGGGGGCACCTCTTGACTGGGGGGGGGCTTCTCCTTTCTCTCCACGAATTGGCAGGCCAGCTGGAGGTGATTCTGGACCGGCGTCTCATGCAGGATGATAACCGTGGACTAGGACAAGGTCTGAAGGACAACAAGCGGACCTGCCATCGCTTCCGCCTCCTGCTGGAGCGATTCAGCTCGGCAAACAAGGTAGGAAGCCCCAGAGATGCCCCCCGCTAGATCGGGCCTCCTTCCTTGCCTGGGACTTCTTGGGGAAACTTTTTGAGTGCCTGCAGATAGGTCTCATTGAACTGGATATTCAGAAGGACTTGGGAGAATGGATTTAAATCCACCCGTGAGTAAAACTCACTTCTTGCCATTGGGGACCCAGCCAATTTTCTCCTTTGGCTCTGGAAGGCAGAGCAGTCCTGGCAACGATCCTTGCGTGGAAGGGCTCCCGCCTAATCTGTTGCCCAAGAAAGGACTCTGAAGCAGCTCTTTGGCCTTGCCCCTTGCCCCCGTCCCCTCTGCGTTGCTGCCCCCCGTCTCCTTTTTTGCCAGGAGAAATACGAAACGTTTCTTCTCTGTTTCAAAAGGGAAAGGGGAAGGCATTCCTCTCCCCCAGTCAATGGTCTTCGTGGCTGTGATTTTATACCCAGGGTCTCCAGTTCAGAACAGGAGTGGCAGAGAAAAGAAGACCCATCAGTAGCCAAGGAGGAGGAGATTAAAGAGAGAGAGAGAGAGAGGACTTTCTATTGGGAATAAATATAAGTAGAGGTCCATCTAAGAGATATTAGACCTAACGGGCTGAGGGCAATAAAGGAAGCCCAAGAGAGATGATCCAAACAGACCCGGAGGGGAAGAAGGCAGGAAGTGGATCAACCCCAGGAAGGACACTATACAGAGCCGGCTCTTCTTCAGCCCTGCTGAGGGAATGACCAGCTTCCTGTCCACGAGGAGTGTAGATCTGAGGCAGTGATATTCACTCTGGTAACCTACCTATTCTCATCGCCCCACCCCCACCCCCCAGAGCTCCAGCTTCTTTTCCAAACTGGCCTCCATGCTGAGAGACCTGGTCCTCCCTAGCAGCAAGGCTGAAAGCCCAGAGGTAAAATCTGGTCTTGTGGTGTAGTCTGGCCTTTCCTTGCCCTGTTGGCGTGTGTGTGTGTAAGCCCAGCGTAATGCTTAGTAGCCAATAGTTTAGCCACCGTAGAGGCTCCTGTTGGGGCTCATCTGAGGGTGAGGCTCCATGGCTTGTGCGGCTGCGTCCATCTTCTCTCCTTCTTGCTGCAGGCCCAGGAGGACCAGCCCACCAGCTTCCCATCTCTGCTCAGCCACATCACCTCCATGCACCTGAATGCGGAGGTTCTCTCCATGCCGCTTGTGCAGGAAAAACTGCCCCCTCCAGCATTGAGGTCTTTTGCGCCGCTTTCGACTACGGTGCCCTGCGACTTCCACCTTCTCAACCTTCGAACGTTGCAAGGAGAGGTGAGCCCTGGCCTGCCAGAGCTGAGCCAAGAAGCCGAGCCCTCGGCCTAGACAACCCTTGCCTGCTTCCCCGGCCTTCCCTGCCTGCTGAGCAGAAGCCCTTGGGCTCCCAGGTGGTACACAGGCTTTCTTCTCCCCAGGACGAGGCCTTGCCGTCTGCTGAGACAGCTCTGATTCTGCACCGGAAGGGCTTTGACTGCGGCCTGGAGGCCAGGAATCTGGGCTTCAATTGCACCACCACCCAGGGCGTGGTATGTCTGGAGGTTCTCACTTGCCCTGGAGGGAAAGGGACCAGGAATGGACATTCGCTGGTGGGGTGGGGGTAGTTCGTGTGAAGTTGCTTTAGGAAATTAAGGGGATCTTGGGTTGCTGGGCTTTTGCACCCTCAGCTTTTGTCTCTTGTTCTTCAGCTGTCCCTAGGTAGCCTATTTCAGGGCCTGAACCTGATCTCCGTGCAGCCCTCTTCCTTGACGCTGATGTATCCGCTGACCACGGCCTCCCCCAACAGCGCCACCATCCAACTTGACCCCATGGAGATTGCCACCTTCCGTCTTCGCTTCGGATAGCCTGAACCCTTCATCAGGAATTTCTGCATATGGACCTTCTCCCTCCTCTGGCATAGCTGCCCCAGAGGGAGCTGCTCCATGCCAGGCAGAGACAGAGATGAGATCCTCGGCTAGCTGTGTCCTTTGATGCTGCAGGAATTGCCCGGGGTGCTATCTGTGCCTGGAGAACTTGGGGCACTGCTTCCAGAATTTGGTTCTAGTTTGACACGGAGGGCAGCGGACTATGCTGTGAGGAGAGAGAGAGCTTACGTGGTTTGAGCAGTAGTGAAAACTTCATTTCTGCTCTTCCCTGGCTCCGGAAACCAACTCTGTAGTTGGTTTGACTGATCCCGGACATGCAGAACAGGCGCAGTGTGTAGCAAACACTGTGGAACGGAGGATGGGCCAAGGGGAGCTCCTGCCGCTTGAAGCAAAGTCCTCGTCTCTGGGTGCCCACTTCCTCCAGAAAGCGGGGTGGGCGTGGGGGGTGGAAGGCCTGTAAGCAGGAGTTGGGTGGCAATTCACTCAGGGTTGGGAAGCAGCTCCCCATATTTTTTTCATATAGGAGGGAGTGTTTCTCCACAGTGTGAATTCTCTAGAGAAATGCTGACTACATTCGTACTGTGAACTACAGAGGGAAGGCAAAAAGTCTTTCCTCCCAAATCTCTGCTGCAGCTTGGTCCAAGACAACCTTTAGCTAGCTAGCACAAGGCTGAGTCTGCTAAAGGCCTTTTCATTATGGATGAAGACAGGAAACTCCCTGGACATTTCTGCTCCCTTTCCTGCCTTGAGTCCAAGAGCGAGGCCTGCTGCTGCGTTGCGGTTAATAGAGCCAGCTGGCTCAAGACTCTTTTCCTTTCTGAAGGGTGAAGCCAGCAGTGCCATCCCGCTACAGAACATGTAGCCGAGGAGCAGCTCCTGCCCCAACTGCCCTTTCTCCCTGGCCAACGGGCTCCCAGGCAAACTTTGGGGATGTGCCACCTTTTGCACGGCACGTGTGCAGAGCCCACATACTTCATTTTATGGCTCAGTGTGCCATGCAAACCCAGAAAATGCATTGGGATAAACCATGATTCAACAAACTCTGGGCTAGCATCCTTTGTGAAGAAAGCCCTGAGATTCTGGAGGGCCCCTTGCAAATCTGATGGCCTTGAGCCCTGCAGGACTGGTCGTACTGCCCAGAAGAGCAGTTTTGAGCTTAGGAAGGTGCTCCTCCATCAAGCACCTGCCTAAAGGAGGTTTCCAATCGCCAGGAGGGCAACCTAGAAGTGGGCAAAGGCAGCAGAGTTGTTTCCTGCTCTTTGCCCGTTTCATTTCTACAGGGTTCTGTCTCTGCGACAGGCTCTTCTTGGATGTAGTATGTTTACAGATTGATGGGTGGGCTGTCACTCCTAGGTCATACTATCTTAGACCACAGGACTTTAAAGGTCTGTCTACCCACAGGCGCAGTTTTCAGCATGTGATGCAAGAGCTGTACGTAACGCATATGGCAAATGCTGAGAAACCTAAATTAGACTTTGGAATCTCTTGTTTTTCAGGGATGTTGATTACTTTAGGAGGAGGAGGAGAAAGCAAACCACTGTTTTGTGTTGCTCAATTTGTGCTGCATTAACTGAATGAACAGGATGTGAAAGTGTGCATACTTGTGTCTTTTTTCATATATATATATATATTATTAGTTTTCTAATTTTACAAATGCACACTTGTGTCTTGTGTTTGCAATAATTGCTGTGGGTGGTGGGGAGGAACCAGGAATTCATCAAGCAGAAGTTGAATCGGGCTGCCTGCTCCGGCTGTCCCTCAACCAACAGAGCCAGTGAATGGGTAATTGATTTCAGGCTCTTAATTATATCATTTGCCCCCACACGAATGAGGAAAAAGGGCTAATAATGGGTGAGCTTGAGTATTATAGCCAGCCTCTCTGTCACATCCTTAGTCTTTGCACCAGTAAGACAACTCACTTCCCTTAAGAAATTGTCTACAAATTGATGACTCTGTTCCGCTGAGTAGTGAATCGCCAATCCATGCCTTTTTTCCCCCTCCGGGGATGTCTGAGCTGCTTTATTTCTTATCACTGAACACTGGACAAACACTTTTCTTCAGGTGTCTGTCCTGGGGGAAGGATACAAAAGTGGCCCCTTCCAGCTTGACGATTCCTGCTGTTTTGAAATCCCATCTCTCCTGGCAGTGTTAAACAGATGCTGAGGCAAGGAGGAGGCTGGCTTTGCCCAACCCAGACTGGCTTCGGAAAAGGCCCGGTACGTGAGCCAGGACCTTCATCAAATGGCACCGCATTCATCTGTCTTTCTCCAAACCTCTGGTGCAGCCAGGCCAGTTCAGGACCCCCATTAGCGGAATCCTTTCCCTAATGGATCCTCCCCGCCGCCAGCCTGGCAGAGTCCCCACTTAGGCCGGGGCTAAAAGCAGCCGGGCCTAATGGCACGGGGAGGTGCCTGCTAATGGATGTGGGAGCAGGTCGGCGAGCGCGGTTTCGCTGCCTCCCCGTCCAGTCCGGGCTGCCTCCGCCTGGGCGCCGCGGGGAAGATGCTGCTCTGGCTCCTGCTGCTGCTGCTGCCGCCGGCCTTCCTCCGGCCAGGTGCCGGCTCCTTGCAGGCGCGACCCGCAGCTTCTGGCCGGGGCTCGTCGGAGCCGAGCGCCGCCGCCGCGCGGGCTCTCCCGCTCGCGGCCCCCGACGCGCGTCTCTGCGAGGGCTACTCGGGCGCGGACGGGCGCCTCCACGCCGCCTTCTTCTGCCCGCGCCTGTCCGACGCGCCGGGCGACGCCTACTGCTGCCAGCCCGGCGGGAGCGGCGCGCTCAAGTCCTGCTGCCCGCGGCCCGAGCCCGACCGTCCCCGGGGCGCCAACGCCTCGGCCGCCCTCCCGGCGGGGCTCCGGTGAGACCCTGCAGGCGGGCCGGGGAGGGGGTCGGGAGGCCCGCCCGCCCGCCGGGCTTGACGCCGCTCCGTCCCGCCGCAGGAGCCCGCTGCTGCCGCTGCTGGCCGTGGGGATCTACGGAGGCCTCGTCCTGGCGCTGGCCGCCGCCGACCTCCTGCACTACTGCCGCCGCCGCGCCGCCGCCGGAAGGAGCGCCGTCACGCGCCCCGCGCAGGCCCCGCCCCCGGAAGTGCCGGCCGTCGCGTCCGCGTGACGCCCACTCGAAGCGCCATGGCGGCCTCAGCGATGGCGGAGATGCGCCGGGAGGGCAACGAGCATTTCCAGGCCGGGCGCTACGCGGAGGCGCTGGCCGCGTACACGCGCGCGCTGGGGCTGGCCGCCCCCGAGGCCGAGGCCGAGGCGGCCTCCCAGCGCGCCCTGCTCTTCCGCAACCGCGCCGCCTGCCAGCTGAAGCTGGTGAGTCGGGGCGCCGGGGGGCGCGGCGGGGCGCGGGGCGGGGGGGAGCGTCTTTCTCGGTCTCCCGTCTCCCGCCTTCCCTTCGCAGGAGGACTACGCGCAAGCCGAAGCGGACGCCTCCCGAGGTGAGCGGCCCGCTACACCCACGCGCGCGCCCGGTCGCTCTCCCCGCGGCCCCGCCACCGAAACGCCGCCTCCCTTTTGGTCTCTGCAGCTCTGGAGCTGGACGGGCACGACGTGAAGAGCCTCTTCCGCCGCAGCCAGGCCCTCCGGGGCCTGGGCCGCCTCGACCGGGCCGCCTCGGACCTGCAGCGGTGTGTGCGCTTGGAGCCCAAGAACAAGGCCTTCCAGGAGGCTCTGCGCGACCTTGGCAGCAGCGCCCAGGAGAAGGTAGGCCCCGGGCTCCCTCCGCCCCCGGTGTACCGAGAGGCTCTGGGGATGGGCCGGCGCTCTCGGCTGCTTTAAGGTAAGGCTCTAAACTGGCCTGTCTCTTCCGCTCGGTCTCAGGTGAAAGTCATGAGCTGTACTGACTCAAAAGTAGAAGCCATGTTTAAGCTGCTGCTGGACAGCGAGGAAAAGGATCAGGACAAGAAACAAAAGGTACGGGCTGAGAAAGAGGAGGTTAGGATGCTCCTTGGTGATGGAGTGGGCAAAGTGTTCTGCATCTCATGAAGCCTGATGAACTTGTTATTCTGAAAGTCTCAGAAGAAGTTGGCAATTTGAAGCGATAGGTGGGCTGGGGAGAGTGTAGCAGCAGTGCAGAATTGTACAAGCAAGTACGCGTAGCAAGTTCTTGCAGCTTAGCAGATATTCCATCCCTTTAGCTGGTCTTTCACTTGAATATTGTGCCACAGATGGAAATAATAATCTTGTGGGCATAGAGGGGGTAGGGGCGGTCGGTAGGTAAGTGAGCATGCAGTCTCAGGATAATGGGTCATAAGCTTTGAGGCTTGACCCCCAAGCCCCATTTTCCTTCACTCCCTCCCCCAAAGGATCTATAGCAGCCTTTCCTGGTTTGAAGTAATACCAGACTTTAAATCTCATTAGTTAATGGCTTCTCTGGCTTGGATTTATGGGGGGTGAAGCCCAATATAGGCAGGAGGCTTTAGGCTGGTAGGTCTGTTCCTGTCAGTGTGTAGCAAGAGGTGGGCATCTGATGGGTCAAGATTTCTCAATGTAGTATAAATCAGTATGAACAGGGAAAGTTTAGGTAGCTAAACACGTGTTCTTTTTCTGACCAGGCAGCTCAGAACCTGATAGTTCTGGCTCGAGAGGAGCCTGGTGCCGAGAAAATTTTCCAGAATGATGGAGTGTGCTTACTGCTGCAGCTCTTGGACACAGGCCGTTTGGATATGATGATAGCAGCCTTGCGGACCTTCACTGGCCTCTGCCGTGGTCACTGTTCTCGAGTAAGGGTTGCTGCAAGATGACTTTTTTCAGAGCTGGGGACTCACGTGGTTTACTTCCTGACTGTTTCAAGGATGGTGCTTTGCTGCTAACAGCACTTAACCTTCCCTTGGAGTATCTAACCAAATATTTAGCATGTGGGGGGGGTGTCTTTCCTGAAATACTTCCTGCACAGAGCTAGGAACTCATGAAACCATCTGTGCTGACCAGACTCCTTTTTGCCTCTGGTTTTGTGACCTAGCAAAGGGGCTCGGTAAAGAGCAAGATAATCACATCGTTCGGCAGCTCAGTTCTGGGAAATAGTTTTGGATTTGTGTTGCTCACAGAATCTTGGTGATTCCTTGTCATATTGGAATGGACACCAGCGTGGTTGAACTCTGATCTTTTTGTATGGTGGGGACTGGATCTCACTGTGCTGTTGAAAAATCAACCCCATTTCCTTAGCCTGACCGGCTTGGGTCCCAAGACTTTGCTTCTGTAGGACTTTGAGAAGCAGTGCCTGCCTCCTCCAGAGCAATTCTAGTTAGACTTGAATTTCAGAGGAGCAGCTGGTTTTACAACAAGAAGATAGGTAAAATGGGTCTATAGATCCTTCCCCTGTCTCAAAGCTGGGTACTTTTCTTACAGACAGTGGTGATTCTGAGAGACCTGGGGCCTCAACGTCTCTTTGCTGTGCTAGAGCGGGAGGATGAACATCTTTCACTGGCTGTCTATAACCTGTTGCAGGTCATGTTTGAGACCCTCAGGCAGGGCCTGCAAAAAGAAGTGCTGCACAAAGACAACGTTTTGGCATCAGGTGAGTCTCCAGCTGCCTTTCTGAAGTTGCAGGGATAGCATCATTGCCTGTATTGCTTAGGAGAAGGATGGCCACATTTTCATGATGCTGTCTTAAGTCTGGATGGATTACAGGTAGTCCTCGAGTTATGAATGCAATGGAGCCTGCCCATCCCATTTCTATTTTTGCTGCATGTTGCTGTATGTGTGTGTGTGTTTCTAATCATTGTGCTTTTAGACATCTCATATTCATGTTTTTAGTGACATTCAGCTTGGATAAAGCATCCTAGACGTTTGCAGGAGAACAACTTGTTATGCTAAGTCAAGTTAAGCCTTTGCTCACTTGTGCGCTATAAGAGACGATAGCTTACAAGTATGAGTGGAAATGTTGTTTACCTCTCTAACTGATGCTCTTGCTGTAGACTCAACCAGAGAGCTGAAGCTGCTCCTTAGATGGCTGTTAGAGGCGCTCACTCGAGCAGGCATCTCTTCCTGTGGTCGTGACAGTATCCTCAATCTGCTGATCAGCGCAATAGCCCCAAAGTCGCTGCAGGCCTCCAACAACGCTTTGACCCTTTGGGTCATTGATCACGGTAAGCACGGTGCGCAGCAACTTTTCTATTCTTGGCTCCTTCTCTGTTTTAGTCAACCACGGTTCTTTGCAGGTCTCAAGGAGATCCTGGAGGTTGGGAGCACAGTGCCCCATAGTCCTGGAGGCCTGCATGTGACAGAGAACACCCCCATGACTGTGGCCGTGCTGCTTAGTAAGCTTTACGAGGACTTGAAGTGTGATGGCGAGAGAGAGAATTTCCATCGACTCTGTGAGGAATATGTCCGGTAGGTCTGTGAGTCTGTCAATGCAGCCCTTTGGAGAGAACTGCTGTTTGACAAAGGGAGCTGTCGCTTCTTAGCAAGGAATGTTGGGCTGGTTGCCACTCTTTTGGCTTTGCCAGCTTCTGTTGGTGAGTGATTCATGGCAGAGGCCTCACAAATGAGAGAGGTATGAGCTACTTCAGTTGTTGGTTCCTTCCTATAATATACGTTCAGTATTTACGTAGTAGTTTCATGTTTAGTCTCTTTGCTGATACCGGTCGCTTGCTCTTCCTTTCCAGGGATTGGTTCCAGGACCACGGCATGCCTGGGAAACTCAGGGCCATCCAGACAGTGAGCTGTCTCCTGCAAGGCCCTTCAGAGGCCGGGAACCAGGTGCTGGAACTGAATGGCATCATGGAGAGCATTCTGGCATTGTGTGCCTCATCCCAGGTGGCTCACCAACTTGTGGCTGTGGNAGGGTAATTTTTAAGAGGGGTTTTTAGAGGAGTTTTTAATTATATTTTAAATTAGACAAGTTAAATATTTCATTTTAATTAATTTTAAATTTTGTGTTGTTATTGGTGTTTTTAATTGATTGTCAGCCGCCCTGAGTCCGCAAGGAGAAGGGCGGGATATAAATTCGAACAATAAATAAAATAAATAAATAAATAAATATTCATGTTTTTAGTGACATTCAGCTTGGATAAAGCATCCTAGACGTTTGCAGGAGAACAACTTGTTATGCTAAGTCAAGTTAAGCCTTTGCTCACTTGTGCGCTATAAGAGACGATAGCTTACAAGTATGAGTGGAAATGTTGTTTACCTCTCTAACTGATGCTCTTGCTGTAGACTCAACCAGAGAGCTGAAGCTGCTCCTTAGATGGCTGTTAGAGGCGCTCACTCGAGCAGGCATCTCTTCCTATGGTCGTGACAGTATCCTCAATCTGCTGATCAGCGCAATAGCCCCAAAGTCGCTGCAGGCCTCCAACAACGCTTTGACCCTTTGGGTCATTGATCACGGTGAGCACGGTGCACAGCAACTTTTCTATTCTTGGCTCCTTCTCTGTTTTAGTAAACCACGGTTCTTTGCAGGTCTCAAAGAGATCCTGGAGGTTGGGAGCACAGTGCCCCATAGTCCTGGAGGCCTGCTTGTGACAGAGAACACCCCTATGACTGTGGCTGTGCTGCTTAGTAAACTTTACGAGGACTTGAAGTGTGATAGCGAGAGAGAGAATTTCCATCGACTCTGTGAGGAATATGTCCGGTAGGTCTGTGAGTCTGTCAATGCAGCCCTTTGGAGAGAACTGCTGTTTGACAAAGGGAGCTGTCGCTTCTTAGCAAGGAATGTTGGGCTGGTTGCCACTCTTTTGGCTTTGCCAGCTTCTGTTGGTGAGTGTTTCATGGCAGAGGCCTCACGAAAGAGAGAGGTATGAGCTACTTCAGTTGTTGGTTCCTTCCTATAATATACGTTCAGTATTTATGTAGTAGTTTCATGTTTCGTCTCTTTGCTGATACTGGTCGCTTGCTCTTCCTTTCCAGGGATTGGTTCCAGGACCACGGCATGCCTGGGAAACTCAGGGCCATCCAGACAGTGAGCTGTCTCCTGCAAGGCCCTTCAGAGGCCGGGAACCAGGTGCTGGAACTGAATGGCATCATGGAGAGCATTCTGGCATTGTGTGCCTCATCCCAGGTGGCTCACCAACTTGTGGCTGTGG